TTTGTAAAAGATTCAACACTTGTGCGCTTCGTGAAAAAAAAGAAACGAACTTGAGATTGGATCGCGCGTCGGGGCGTCGGGGCCAGCGGACAATTTCACACTGCCCTGAAGGGCCCGCTCCATTTAGTGATTAGGAGTTAGGACGCAACAGCCTCACGGTCGAGCCACTAATTTGAAACGAGTACTCTGTCGCCTCGTCTTAGTTTATCACAATTGATCCAGGAAGCGGAAGAAGGGAATTGTGCCTTAGAATGGTTTCCATCACTACACCAAATTATTTGACTGAATTCCAAGCAGTTTAGGAGAAAATCCACATGGAAAAAGGGTATATCTCAACTTAACCCCTTTTACGATCTAAATTTCATTGGAAAATAGAGATAACTCAACGGAAGTCCACATGAGTCCGTTTGACAAATTGGCAAAAGGATATAACTCAACTTGTATTTTTATGAATCTTGTGTAAAAAGAATCAACTCAACTTAGCCCCCCCTTAATTTTAAATTTCAATTTGGAAAAAAGAGCTAAGTCCAAAAAATACACCAGAGTAACATACACTTCATGCAGACTATTGTTCCACTTGACTTGTCTCAAAATTCCTCTTTGTTTAGGAAATATAAGGTGAGCTGACTCTGTTTTCCATTTCAACGGAAAGCGATAAGTTGCAGAAATCCTCTACGGAGTGACCTTACACTTTTTATTTTTTTTTCCAAAATTTTACTAATGCTTTTTGAAATTATTAGCATGTGCAACATTCATTTGTTTTGTTTTAGTTTTCCCTCCTAACAGTTTTTGGTTTCTCCTGGAAAATGGCCAAAATTGAGTTATCCCCTTCTTCCGCTTCCTGGATCAATTGGTTCTTTCCCTCCCACAAACCAAGATCACCTTTAAAACTGCAAAATGGAACTGTAAAAAAATCACTCTGTTCTCAAGCCCACATTTTTCCATGTGGCTGCGGCATTACACCCAACGACGCTCTCCAAACAATGTATTTATGCTTACACAAAATAACTACATATAAAACATACATGCGTACAGTCAGATACACTAATACTCACACACACACACACACACACACACACACACACACACACACACACATTCACATACACACGATCTGCTCAGTCTCATTGCGGAACATATCTCTTTGCCGCGAATTATTTGTACTTGGTGGGAGTCCCGCCGGATTTGGTTTGTGACGGGACGCGGAGACGCCGTGACACGTTTCGTGACGCGTCTCGTGACGCGATTGTCACGTCTGTGACGCGATTGTCACGTCTGTGACGCGATTGCCACGTCAGTGACGCGATTGTCACGTCTGTGACGTGATTGCCACGTCTGTGACGCGATTGCCACGTCAGTGACGCGATTGTCACGTCTGTGACGCGATTGCCACGTCAGTGACGCGATTGTCACGTCTGTGACGCGACTGTCACGTCAGTGACGCGATTGTCACGTCTGTGACGCGATTGTCACGTCTGTGACGCGATTGTCACGTCTGTGACGCGATTGTCACGTCTGTGACGCGATTGTCACGTCTGTGACGCGGGCGTGGCAGCTTTTCGACCGCTACTCCCAGATCTTGAACTCTTTCCTTCCAGCAGAACGACAAAACGCCTGCACAGAGGACAGAAAAAAATATAATAATGTGAAAAAAATAAAGATAAAGAGAGATTGCTTGCTTTTGGAGTCAACCCTTGAGGGCCCACAGTGGGCCAAACGACCGGTGGAGGCAGCCAAAACTCTAGACGCGTTTTAAGCTCCAGTCGCTAAACAGGACCCGAACCGAACGTGTGACCCCACCAATGGATTCCTCGTTCAGAGAGCAATCCATTGGTGGGGTCACACGTCCGGTTCGAGTCCCATTGAGCGACTCTGGAGCTCAAAACGCGTCTAGAGTTTTGGCTGCCCCCACCGGTCGTGTGGCCCACTGTGGAGCCCTGGCCTCCTCCTCATCATCATCATCATCGCACCATCCTCACCGTCATCGTCACTCACCGTGAGCTGGCCGCCTCACACCTTGGCCTCCTCCCGCGTCCGGTTCTTCTCCTTCTTCTCCTTCTCCGGCGTGCTGGCGGCGGGCTGCACCTCCTGCAGGAACTCGCCGCCCTCGCCCACCGTGTTCCAGGACTGCACCTCGGCCGAGCTGAAGACGCAGTACACGACGGACGAGGCGAGGCACACGCCGAACGTGACCCAGAACACGTCGCGCCACTGCTTCAGCGACCTCTGCGGACGAGCGAGGCGAGAGCGCGTTTAGTTTGCGTTGAACCGGGACGGGAACGGCAGAAGGATTCGCGCAGTGGGCCAGAAGACCGGTGGAGGCGGTCAAAACCCTGGATGGGTTCGCTAAATGGGAGTCGAACCGAACGTGTGACCCCACCAATGGATTGCTCTCCGAACGAGGAATCCATTGGTGGGGTCACACGTTCGGTTTGAGTGCCATTAAGCGACTCGGGAGCTCGAAACGCATCTAGAGTGTTGGCCGTCTGCGCCGGGCTTCTGTCACACTGTGGTTCGCGAAGCTTGCTGTTGGACTCACGTCGGGAATGAGCAGCCCCACGATGTCCGGCGACACGATGCCCGAGACGGCGCCCAGCCCGTTGACGATGGACATGACGAGGCCCGAGTAGTTGGGCGCGATGTCCAGGGCGTTCACCTTGAGCGAGCAGTAGAAGGGGCCCATCATGGCCATGCCGATGCAGAAGAGCGTCACCACCACGACGCGGTCGCAGCCCACGTACGCGGCGGCCAGCATGCCCACGCCCGGCATGAAGCACGCTGCAACCAGGGCACTTCTTTGACACAGGTTCGTCGAGCCAACAAAGAAAACCACTCGCACTGCCCAACGATCTACAGTGTGCCAGAAGACCGGGGGAGGCGGTCCAAATACCGGACTCCTCTCGAGCTCCAGTCGCTAAGTAGGAGTCGAACCGAACAGGTGACCCCATCAATGAATTGCTCTTTGAACGAGGAATCCATTGGTGGGGTCACACGTTCGGTTCGTGTTCTGTTTAGCGACTCTGGAGCTCAAAACGCGTCTGGAGCTTTGCCCGCCTCCATCGGTCTTCTGGCCCACTGTGCACTGATCGAGAGCCAGAGACCTTGGGAACCCCATAGGCGACTTACCGAAGGTGGTGAAGAGCTTCCGGTGCACGCCGATGGAGATCCTCTCAGTTCGAATGAGCCAGTCGGAGAGCCAGCCGCTGAAGAAGGCGCAGAGCCACGTGGCCAGGTTGGGCAGCGCGGAGATGAGTCCGTTCTGCGGCACGGCGACAAGGCGTTAGCAACGAGGGTGAGCACACTGCGAATGGATTGGATACCCAGTCTGGTTCCGAGCACTGCTCTCGTCACACAGTGGGCCAGAAGACCGGTGGAGGCGGTCAAAGTCCCGGACGCGTTTTGAGCTCCAGAGTCGCCAAATGTGACTTGAACCGAACGTGTGACCCCACTAACGGACTGCTCTCCGAAAGAGGAATCCATTGGTGGGGTCACACGTTCGGTTCGAGTCCTGTTTGGCGACCCCTGAGCTGAAAACGCGTCTATAGTTTTGCCCGCCGACGCCGGTCTTCTGGCAAATCCACTGTGAGTCGCTCCGGGCTCCGGGGCCCCGTGGGTGCGAGAGAGACAGCCGCCAGACTTACCTCGGTGACCTTGTAGCCGAGCACGCTCTTCATGTACTTGGGCAGTTCGGTGCCGAGGGTGAAGAGGGCCCAGTCGTGGCCGAGCTGGCCGATGATGAGGGCCCAGACGGGCATGCTGCTCAGGATGGCGAACCAGGGGATGCTGGCGGGCCGCTGCCGGGGAAAACGCACTCATTGAATGAACAACCAAACCAGGTGTGCACTGTTAGGCTCCGCTTGGGCTTTTCGTATAGTGAGTCAAACCCGCCAGGAGTATGCCGATACTCCCCTGCAACAAGCAGCTATCTACGCTCACTGTCTCGATAACCGACTATCTACGGGCGCTCTCCCGACAACCGGCTATCTACATGGGCTGTCTGGATAACCGACTATCCAACATCGTAGCGAGGTTAGGGTTGTCGTATAACGAAGTATTTTTCTCCATGACACTTAAAGCGACCCGTTTACACCAAACTTAATCTTGCTTTGACGAACTTTTGACAAGTTTTGGTAAAGGTTTTGCGAGGGCAACTTAATTGGTTGGATAAATAAAAGCATTCAATCTCGCGAGGTGGAGAAAGCAGATAGTCGGTTATCCAGACAGCCCGTGTAGATAGCCGGTTGTCGGGAGAGCGCGCGTAGATAGTCGGTTATCGAGACAGTGAGCGTAGATAGCTGCTTGTTGCAGGGGGGTATCGATGCCGTCTATACTTTTTAAAAGTATGCCGGAGTATACCTTTGCCCCCATACCAGTACGTATGCCCAACATACGTTTCTCAAAAGGTATGGCAGGCGGCTTCCCCCACCACTCCCTCAACTGCCTCCGTACCTATGCGAATGCGCTTCATACCGAAAAGTATGAGGTAAACGGCCACATCGAAAAGCATCGGCCCGGCCCGGACTTGAACCCGGGCATTCCACCTCCAGTGTGCGTGATGTGCCACCGCGCCGCACAGGAGGTGGAGTCTCGGATGACGACCACATGCTCTTGGACCGGGCCGGAGCGAGGGAGGCGGGCATCCCCCACCCCGCTGCAATGGCCCCCCCACCACAGCGGCGTGGTGCCCCGCAACACCGCGCACCCCCCCTCTGCCATACTTAAAGGTTTGGCTTGGTTTGGACGCGACAAATGGGTGCGAACGTATGACAGCTCATACATTTTCAGAAAGGAATGCCGAGCCGATCTTATACATTTCAAAAGTATGGCTTTCCATAACTTTATGTACGCCTTTTCGCATACCTTTTCAAAAAGGTCAACCTCAGCCTTACAGTGTGCATGTCTCTCCAGAGTCCCGAGTCGGAGGCTGGTCCCCGCTGCACAGTGGGCCAGAAGACCGGTGGAGGCGGCCAAAACTGTAGACGCGTTTTGAGCTCCAGAGTCGCTAGATGGGACTCTTATCGAACGTGTGACCCCACCAATGGGTTCCTCGTTCGGAGAGCAATCCCTTGGTGGGGTCACACGTTCGGTTCGAGTCCTGTTTAGCGACTCTGGAGCTCAAAACGCGTCTGGAGTTTTGGCCGCCTCCACCGGTCTTCTGGCCCACTGTGCGCTGGTCCCCGCTGGTCGCGCACCTTGGTGCTGGTGGCCTTGATGGCGGACTCGATGTACTCGCGCTCGGCGGCCGAGATGCGGGGGTGCATGGCGGGGGTGTCGTAGCAGAGCAGCCAGAACGCGGCGCACCAGACCAGGCCGATGCCGCCGAACACGTAGAAGACGGAGGCCCAGTCGCCCGTGCCGGAGATGATGATGCCGGACAGCGCCGTGCCCACCACCTGGCCCAGCAAGTTGCCTGCAGGCAGGCCGAAGGGAGGGGGCTGGTTAGCACACGAGGCGGCCACAGCACAGTGGGCTAGAAGGCCGGTGCAGGCGGCCGAAACTCTGGACGCGTTTTGAGCTCCAGAGTAGGTAAACGGGACTCGAACCGAGCGTGTGACCCCATCAATGGATTCCTCGTTCGGAGAGCAATCCATTGGTGGGGTCACACGTTCGGATCGAGTCCCATTCAGCGACTCTAGAGCTTAGAACCCGTCCGGGGCTTCGACCGCGTCCACCCGGTCTTCTGGCCCACAGTGCGTCGATGAAAGAGCCAAAACAAAGAGACAGGCAAGGGACAGATACCAACTCAAGAATGTTTGTTTTCGCAGAGCGGTTGCTACCCGGGGGCGAACAACATGCTGGCCTTCTGGGGGCCCGCGCAGGAGCGATCCGTCATGGGCTCCATCATCTTCGCAGGTGAGATAAGCGAGGGGGGAACAGCTTTCCACATTCGTTGTACAAAATTTGACCACATTCCACATTCAGGAGGCAAAAACGCCTGTAAGTAGGCAACATGTGTGGCAAAAAAGCAAGAAATCTTGCACATTCTTGCACATTCACACAATCATTGTACACAAAATTTTACAGTGGGTCACCCCTCGGAGATAAGCCGCTTGTGCGGGTGCATCTGCGCTCTTGGAAGTTCCTCGGAACCGCGCGAGGGTTCGAGATTACACTGTCTCCGAGCCAATTAAGGGGCAATTAGTCACCGCAGATCCCCAATCATCTTGAAAGGCAAATAGTGTCGAAATCCCTGACGCAGCAGCTCTATGAAAACGACCTCAAGTTTTCGCACATGAGCATGTGTTGCAATAATTGTGAAAGAAACACGCCGTACCGTGGGTCAGAAGACCGGTGGAGGCAGTCAAAATCACAGGTGGAGGCAGTCAAAATCCCGGACGCGTATTGAGCTCCAGAGTCGCTGAATGGGACTCGAACCGAACGTGTGACCCCACCAATGGATTGCTCTCCGAACGAGGAATCCATCGGTGGGGTCACACGATCGGTTCGAGTCCTGTTCAGTGACTCTGGAGCTCAAAACGCGTCTGGAGGTTCGGCCGCCCGCACCGGTCTTCTAGCCCACTGTGCGACGCGACGCCTACCTCGCCCAGGCCCTCCATGAAGCGCGCCGCGATGACGCACTGCGGGCCGCAGTGGCGCGCCGCCAGCGGGATCAGCATGGTGGACACGGAGCAGATGAGGATGCCGAAGAACAGCAGCCGCTTGCCGCCGAAGCGGTCCGACATCAGCCCACTGGGCACGTTCATGGCGACGTAGCCCCAGAACAGCGCGCCCAGCACCTGGCCCTGCATCGGCTCGTCCCAGTCGAACTCGGCCTGCACATTCAGATTCACATTTGACTCTAGGGTAGATTCAGATTGGTTCCAGCGCAGTTGCAGATCAAGGGTTGGCTTGAGGGACGGGCAAAGTTGGACTTTTTAGCAGATGATACCTTCACCACACTTGAAATATACTTAAAACTAAGGTGTCAGCGTGCTTTTACTCGAGTCCAGAAACCAAGCCCGTATCCTAACAATATAATAGGGGCTGGCCGCCGGGGCGGGCTGGTGCGTGTGGCCATGGGGCGCAGCCTGCGCGGAATTTGACAATGCCTCCCCCGTACAGCGCCAGCGGCACCGGGCGTAAACAATGGCACCTCCTCCTCGGCGACAATCCCTCCCCGCCGAAAGGGCGACTCGGGCTGGCCTCGGCTCTCCTCAGCTCGTGCCGACTTCGGCGCTAGCTCGGCCTCGTTCGGACGATACCGATGCAGCACACTGCTACAACTAGCACACACGACAATACCAAACGAATTTCATCGAAAGAAAACCAAAGGAGTATCATCTGCTTTCATTAACGTTCGTTGAATGAGATTTTGACCAGTTGCGGGGGGCTGTCTGAGGAGGCTGTCTGGGGGCAGGGGGAGCCCTTGGCCTGCGCTTGAGAAGACCCTTGCAGGCGGCCAATGTTCTAGATTCTAGACGCGTTTTGAGCTCCAGCACGGTAAAAACGGTACCTGGTTTTCCCAGGAAGCCCATGGTAGAGACATAGGTGATTTCCGGGGAGTTCCTGGGAAAACTAGGAACCGTTTTCATCGTGAGAGTAGCTAAACAAGAGTCGAATCAAACGTGTGACCCTACCAATGGATTCCTCGTTCGCAGAGCAATCCATTGAGGGGTCACACGTTCGGTTCGAGTCCCGTTTAGCGACTCTGGAGCTCAAAACGCGTCCGGGATTTTGGCCGCCACCACCGGTCTTCTGGCCCACTGTGCGCAGGAAGCTCCCCTCCGGCCGACCAAGTTGAATGAAAGGTGTCCGCCTTCGAGACGCTTACCTTCTCCAGGAAGGCGCCGCCGTCGCTGTTGTTTTTGCCGGTGTCCTGGTCCATCTGCGCCTGGCACGCGCCCTCGGACACGATGTCCCCCTTGGAGTTGGCAGCCTGCGCCATCTCCGTGATGGCCACGCTCATGGCCGCTCGCATGCTGTACGCGTTGAAGATGGCCAAGCCGCCCATGATGACGAAGATGTAGCGCTGCGGCAGGCAGCCTGCAAACACCAGGGTAGAGGAACAACTAGAGAAGGCCTACAGTGGGCTAGAATAACGGTGGAGGCGGTCAGAATCCCGGACGCGTTTTGAGCTCCAGAGTCGCTAAATGGGACTCGAATCGAACGCGTAGCCCCACTAATGATTTGCTCTCCGAACGAGGAATCCATTGGTGAGGTCACACGTTCGGTTCGTGTCCTGTTCAGCGAACTGGAGCTCCAAAAACGCGCCTAGAGTTTTGGCCACCGGCGCCGGTCTTCTGCCCCTCTGTGAGGCGCCACAGACGTCTGTTTGAACGATATCGGAGAAAAAGTGAGAAACTTGATTATTTGTCGTGCCAATGGAGCCTTGCTTTTGATGTACACCGAACTGATATTTTCGCAATCTCACTTTGATCCATTAACGAGAGTGTTTTATCAATTCATTGCGGTGTCTGCCTGAGTGTGTATATGTGTGTGTGTGGAATCGCTGTGCAAAAGGGCTACATCTGCGAATGTAACTGTCGTCGCCACAAGCACAGTCCGTGGTCCCGCCTCTCGAGGTCTCAAGGCTGCTGGTCCACCGGCAAGCCACGTGCACGTCAAAGGCGTGTGCCCGCTCAAGGTGGCCCCGGGGCCCCACGGAAGGCCCAGCCCCGCACGGCCCCGCGGAGACGCGGACCCCCAAGGTGGCACCTTTGCTGCGTCGCGGCGAAATTTCGCGCTTCACTCGGCGGGGCGCGGGGGCAGCGTACCTCGGGCCCTCATCCCGAGAGTCGTTGTCGTCACTCTGTCTCTCTCGCACCTGCACGGGACGCCCCCTGAGTGCGAGAGAGACAGAGCGACGAAAACGACGCTCGGAATCAGCCTGCCGGCTCCACGCGCCACCGTCACGCGGCAGAGGCCGAGGGGCTGAGAGGGGCGGGCTGTCGCGACGAGCCTCGACTTTGTATTTTATTCCTTTATCACCGATTAACCGTCGCGGCGCTGCGCGGTGCGGTACCTTCGATTGCAGGCTGCGCAGCGCCGCTGCCGCGTGATAGGAGGGCGATCTTGTTTCGGGCGGTTTCGGGCCGAGCGACCGCCATGAGGACTGCGGCTTCGAATCTTGAATTCGAGTTTGCCGAACCACCATTTAATTACGATAATGGTGTTTCTTCTAGAAGCGAGACGAGACGTTCTCACAAAACAAGGCCTGGGGCAATTTTCGTAGTAACGGAAACCCCATTGTTACTCCGTTCACGCGCAACTGAACTCGACTCATGTCCAACTTTCCGAAACTACACTGAAGTGGACGTCACCGACTTTGACTCGCTTTGACTCCAATTATTCGACTGTTTCGTTCTGAAGTAAAAGGCCACTGTCGAGCAGAGCGTGAATGGGAAGGGAAACCTGAACCCTGTCGCCGTCATCCAGAACGGCCGGCACTGATTTGAAATCGAGCGAGGCCCTTCACTGAAAAACCAAACGTGGTCTAGACCACTCACACTGGTGTGGTCAAATGGGTGCCATTTTGACTGCATCAGTTGGTGTGGTCTAGACCACGTTTGGTGCGTTTGGTGTGGTCATTGCATGGAAACGAACACCAAACGTGGTCTAGACCACAGCAAACGTGGCCAAACGTGGTCTGATGCGGTCAAAATGGCACCCATTTGACCTCACCAGTGGTGTGGTCTAGACCACGTTTGGTTTTTCAGTGTTGTCAGGCCTTGGCAAGGACGTCAACCTACCTAGCGACAACCCTCCCTGTCGGAAAGGCCTCTCCCTCTACATTAATGAGGGGCAAATTAATTGATTGAAGGAAAGCTTATCGGGATGTACTGCCCTAGTAGCCAACTGGCAGTGAATGGCTTCGTGATAGGTCCATGAGAGTGGATCGAGATAGCGGTGAGCTGGCGACGCCAAAGTGTCACCCATCACCTGACGAGGAAAAAACCTCACTCACGGCCGGGGACCCAAAGAGAGGGAGAGAGGAAATAAGTGCGTGCGTCTCGACGGAAAAGGGGCGTTAACTTGAAGCAGCGTCTGCCTGACTTTCGGGCGGCACGCTGCAGACCGGAGAAGGCGGCCAAAACTCTAGAAAGCGTTGAGCTCCAGAGTCACTAAATGGCTCTCGTACGGAACTTTCGACTTTACCAATGGATTGCTCTTTGAACGAGGAATCGATTGATGGGGTCACACGTTCGGCTCGAGTCCTGTAAAGCGACTCTGGGGCTCAAAACGCGTCTAGAACTTTGGCCGCCTCCACCGGTCCTCTGGCCCACTGTGCAGTGACATAACACTCCTATGACACAAAATCTCGCATGATACTGCCCCGTGTCCTGTGTCCGTTTCTCAGAACGTTTTCACGGTTATGATTATGGCCCAGCCAAAGGCACTTGCTTCGCAGCGACACCTGAGTACTTTTATCTTGATTTTGTACTCGAAACAATAAAAAGTTGCACTTGAGAGGTGAGTAGTATAGGTGGGCTCACATGTGCACTGAGGTGCTAGAACAGCCTATTGGCATGCCCTTACTGAAACATGACCCACGAGAGGGATTCCGCACAGTGGGCCAGAAGCCCCGGCCCGCGCGATGGCGGCCAAAAGTCTAGACGCGTTCTGATCTCTAGAGTCGCTGAAGGAGACTCGAACAGAGCGCGTGACCCCACCAACGGATTCCTCGTTCGGAGAGCAGTCCTTTGGTGGGGTCACACGTTCGGTTCGAGTCCTGTTTAGAGACTCTGCACTGAGAAAACCTTACAAACTATTTTGGGCCTTACAAAGAAAAGTAGTTTGTATAACAAAGTATTTTGAGCATACATAAGCTTACAAAGAAAATACTTTGTAATTTACGAACTATTTCTTCGTATAACAAAGTATTTTAGTTTGTTATATGTATGCTCAAAATACTTCGTAAGGTTTTAAGAGTGTGGAGCTCAAAACGCGTCCGGGTTTTTGACCGCCTCCACTGGTCTTGTGGCCCACTGCTCCGTTCAGATTCCGACTTTCTCCCCACTGTTTCTCAACGAAGGTGACGATATTGGTTGAGAGGCAGTTTGCCCGATCGTGGTCCAGGAGGGCTAGCCAACCTGAATTGTTCATCATGGTGTTGGAGGCAATAAGAATGCCCCAAACCACAGACAACCAAGGCAAAGCCGACATTCTCGAGACAAGCAAACATTTACTTTGAAAAAATGAGTACAAGAGCGTCACGAAGTGCAAGCTCCCCTCAGTCGCACGCTGGACGCGTTGTAGAGGTGTATCTACTTCGTTGTTTTGTTTACTCGTCGATGTGCTCCACCGAGACAGCCACTGCTGGGAAATGTAATGCCCTGGCAGCACTGGCAGTACATGAATACAGGCTTCATTCTTCACTTTCCCTGGCCTGACCGTTTCAAAATCCAAAACCGTCCCGAACAAGGTAAAAGTGCCGCTTTGGAATCCAAGGGGATATGCCACCCTGGTTTTATTTCCATGGGGTTAGAGTTAATTTCCACTCCCACTGCCCAATGAACTCTCCGTTAGACCCAACCCACCGCAAGCAGGTTCTCTGCATTCTCTGCATCAGTCTCTAGGTCTCTACTCTGCATACTGATTCAGAGAGTCGGTTTCGTCTGCCTGTCTCTCTCGCATCTATGCATGGGGTGCTCCGTGTGGGTGCGAGGTAGGCAGAGCGACGAAAACGACTCTCGGAATCAGCCAACTTGTGCTTTCCTCACCGTGCCACACGATGGGGGTCCTGTGCACCATGGCGGAGAGTCGATGTGCCGCTGATTGGTCTTGGACTCGCACTGGTCCAGGGCAGCGCCTAGCATGATAAAGACGCCTCGGCTGGCCGTACAGTGCAGGGGAGGGGGGGGAGGGGGACGCCCAGGTGGAGCGCTATCAAGTGGATGCTATTTGTTTTGCTCTGGGCTGGCCAAGGCGGTGGCCGCCCCCTCCCCCCCTTGCACATTCACACATACCGACTTATACTCGCACACTCCCGCGCACACGAACGTAGCCTAGCTTAGCCGTGTGGAGGCAGGAAAAAAAAAACACACGGTACAGTAAGGTCCAAGGAATCCGAGTAGTATCTGGTTTTTTCCTCATGAGAGATATATTGTACACACTAAATGTTTATGTAGAATTTTGTACGTACCACTTGCACGATTTTGTGCATGCGGGGAATTTGCATAATATTATGCGTGAAAATTTATGCAAATTTATGCAAATTCACGCACAATTTTATGCACGACGGCACACAAGTTTAAAATTATGCATCACCACGTACAAAATTGTACATGAACATTTTGTGTGTAACAATGACTCGATCAATAAACAAAAAATATGCCGGAGGCAGGTGGCAAATCACAAGCAATACAAACTGTCTTGCATAGGTGTCAATTTTGTTGTTGAATACATCCGACTTTTTTCTATCTTTTCACCTTATCAATTTTTTTTAATTTTTTTTTTTTTGGTAGCTAGGTGCCTTTGGTAGGGGGTCCGATCTTTTTTTTTCTCAGGCATACATTGTCTGTTCTCGGTGTCAGGTATCGGGCGGGCGAGCGCGCGCACTTCACCCTCTCTCGTGCTGAGTCAGCCTCAAGTACCCGGTTTGGCGCGCGAGCGAGGGGTACCTCACTTCGTCTAGTCAGTGTACACCCCTGACTCCAGTCACTGCCTTGTTTCAGTCTAGTCACTGAAAAAGTCGGCAAAACCACGTAAATTTGTCCCAATTTTAGTATTTTTGCAACGCATTTCGTGATATTTTCAGTCTAGTCAAAGTGGAAATTGAGTATAGTCACCAGTCAGTGTACACCTGTTTTCAAAGTGAGGTACCCCTCGCGCGCGAGGCGCGTGAGCCGCGCCTCCCCCGCGATGACGCAGTGTCAATTCGGGTTCGGCTGCCGATTCGGATCCGTTCGGGCGGCATTCGGATAGGTTCGGGCCTTCGGGCACGCGACTCGAGCCGCGGCCCGAGCGACCCGAGCGACTCACAGCCGTTAAGCACACACCTTGTTATCGGGCCATCAATTAGCCGGGCAGGCCGTGGCGGGCCGGCAGGGCGACAAACAAACTGTGCAAAGATACGGAGGCAGATTCCGTGCCGGTTTTTTTGTTTCACAGTGCGCGTCGGCGCGTCGCAGTGCGTTCAAGAATCTCGCACCTGCCGCGCACGCAGGTGGTGGGCGCTGCGCTCGTGAAAGCATTTCGCGCGGGAGAGGTGGTTCCTCGGTGGGATGCTCACACGAGCCGCGTGCGTCGTACTACAGACAGCAAATACGATGCTTGATTAATTGCCAAAATTTATGCGTTTGTACCTTGCTGGCGAATTGCTGTGAGTGATTCGTCCGCTTGAAACATGTTCTGGATGTCCTCTAAAAGTTACGTTGCCGTTACGCAAAAATGCAGGTGACGACAGGCTCCCCTCCGTTATCATCCCAACAATCTGCCAATCGCACCTTCATATTCGCCAATTGTCCTCCAATTACACAAAAGCCTCTGGCCGCGGTGCGCGGTATCTAAGCCCCGCGTACCGCCAGCACCGCCACCGCCCCACAGTGGGCCAGAAGACCAGTGGAGGTGGCCAAAACTCTAAACGCGTTTTGAGCTCCAGAGTCGCTAAACAGGCCTCGAACCGAACGTGTGACCCCACCAATGGATTGCTCTCCGAACGAGGAATCCATTGGTGGGGTCACACGCTCGGTTCGAGTCCTGTTGAGCGACTCTGGATCTCAAAACACGTCTAGAGTTTTGGTCGTCTCCACCGGTCTTCTGGCCCACTGTGCGCCTACCGCGTCATCGCGAACGCCCCGCCCACATCGGGGGTCCGTCTCGAGGCTCGTCAACAGCGCGCCTCAATCAAAGGTATCCCTCGAGTTCCCTACTGCCGTGACTTTCGTTGTTTTGTTTTTTGGCTGTACTAACTTACGATGACTCGTTTCATTTTGTCTCTGTTTCAGGAAGCCAATTGAGTAGCGCGAAATAATCGGTAGCAAGCTACAGAGATAAGAGGGTCGCCCGGGTTCAAACCGCAGAAAACTTTTTCCCGTCTCAAGTGAATGTGGACGTACTCGGTACTCCCCACGGCTGTATGACCACTTTCTGGCCCAACCTTTTCCTCACAGCGTGGTGGCTCGCCTAATTCGCGGCTTCAAGTAACGTTGGTTGGACTAGCATTTCCCTGAGAGCGTACGCTGTCCTTTGAAGTAGGTTGGGTGGCCTACCCTGCGCCTGGTGTAGGTTGGGTGGCCTAATCTCTATCTTCAAGTACGTTGGGTGGCCTATCCTGCACCTTGAAGTACGTTGGGTGGCCTACCCTGCCCCTTCAAGAACGTTGGGTGGCCTACGCTGCGCCTTGAAGTACGCTGGGCGGCCTATCATCCCTTTGAAGTACGCTGGGTGGCCTACCATCCCTTTGAAGTACGCTGGGTGGCCTACCATCCCTTTGAAGTACGTTGGGTGGTCTGTCCTGCTCTTACGTTGGGTGGTCTATCCTGCTCCTTGAAGTACGTTGGGTGGCCTATTTTCCCCTTGAAGTACGTTGGGTGGCCTACCCTGCGCCTTGAAGTACGCTGGGTGGCCTACCATCCCTTTGAAGTACGTTGGGTGGTCTATCCTGCTCCTTGAAGTACGTTGAGTGGCCTATCCTCCCCTTGAAGTACGTTGAGTGGCCTATCCTCCCCTTGAAGTACGTTGGGTGGCCTACCCTGGGCCTTCGCGTGTGTTGGTCCCTTTAGAGCAGAAGCCGGCCGTACGTACGTGGAACCCTCAAGAGAGTGGATGAGCCAAAGCCAAGGACTGCTCGGCCGATACGCCGTGCTTGCGGTGGGGTCCTTTTGGGAGCCGAGCCAAGGAGTTCGTCGGGTTTCTATCATTCGGCCTTGTCTGTCTATGTGTTACAAGGACGCGAGGACAGCACCTGATGAGGTTTCCGATCAAAACCAAACTTGTCGATACCCAGACCCCAGCAGGCCAAACGCGAAGTCCTTGCCCTTCTCTGTCGCTCCTCTTGAGTCAGACTGACTCGGCGGAGAGAGAAAGTCCCGCTTCCGTTCGGGGTGGCGACTTTCGCCCGCCGGAGTGCCGGAAGCAAGGGGCGTCGCCGCGTCACCGCCGGCCAGGTCTGTGTCACCGCGGCACCGCGGTCTGGCCTCGGCACGCACGTCCGCGTCGTGCGCGGCGCGCAGCGCCCGCCGCGGATAACCATCCCGATAGCGGAGATAGCGGTGCGGTATCAGCAGGCCGGTTCGGGGAGTCCTCCTCATCGCCCTGTCTCTCTCGCACCCGAAGGCGGCGCCCCGTGAGCGCGAGAGAGACAACGACGAAAACGACTCTCGGAATGAGCCCGCGGGGCGCGTCGCGGCGCGTCGCGGCGCGTCGCGCGGGAACGCGGCGAGCGTGGCTGAAGGCGCGGCCGTGGTGCCGCGGTGCGGTATCTAGTGCATCGCGGTCCACCTGCGCCGAAGGTCCTCGCCCTCACGTCGCGCCGCGCGCCCAGTCAACTCCCAGTCAAAGTGCCTTCAGCCGCTCAGCCGCCTCAGCGTCGCGGCCTTGCTGCCCCTGCAGTGTGTCGCCTTGCCGCCGACCGCCATGCGGATGCCAGCGACCCAGTTCGCGCTGATCTAGAGACTAGAGGCATGGATCTCCGCGCCCTCGTCGCCCACAGGGCCCACAGGGCCTGGGCGTGGTCGCCGCGGCTGGCGGTGCTGGTGGTCGTTGTCGTGGTGCTGCTGGAGGACAAGACGGTGGCCGGGCAGCGCTTCGGCCACCCGCAGCACGCCCCGGGCCAAAGCTACCCCCAGCAGGGCTACCACCCCCAGCACCAGGGCTACAACCCTCAGCAGGGCTACCCCCAGCAGGGCTACAACCCTCAGCAAGGCTTCCCCCAGCAGGGCTTCCCCCAGCAGGGCTACAACCCCCAGCAGGGGCCGCAAGGCGGTTTCGGGCGGCCAGCTCCGGGACCGGGGCTCCAGGGGCCGGGATACCCCTCATTCGGGCTGACCGGTTCGTATAGCCAGTGTCCAAAGCCACCCAACGCGCCAGCAGGTGCCAGCATGGCCACCCCTGCTGTGCCAAAAGGAAACGCGGCTCCGCTTTGTTGCAGACGAAGGCCTGGGCTCGCCGTGCTCCTACGACGAGAACTGCTACTCCATGGAGCACACCTACTGCAAGATGCAGCAGTCGTGCGAGTGCAAGCTCAACTACGTGCCCAGTGAGGCGGGCGATCGCTGCCTTGCCAGTCAGTCTCTACGATCGTAGTCACCAGATTATCCGACGCACTATCTACTACAGCCACCGTGTTAAAAACCGTGTCAACTATCGTGCTTTTCCGCAGCGGTGGGCGCGGCCTGCAGCTACAAGTACGACTGTTCCGGCCTCGGCGCCGAGGCGGACTGCTTGCAGAACGTGTGCGACTGCGGGGGCAACTACTTGCCCGCCCCGGACGGCACGCACTGTCTCAAAGGTAGGAAAGGAGACCTTTTGGCCCATGGGATGGCCCCTGCTGCAGACCCCGCCGATGGTTGCACAAGACGATGGCCGTGCACGCTTCCTCTCAGGATCGGTTTTGCGCACTGCTGGCGGAACGCTACAAGTTCCAGGAGCTGTTGCGCCTGCCCGTGCAGACGGTGACCGCCGTAAACATCACCAGCTACCAAACAGTGTTGCACGCTGCGTTGCCTGTCGAGACTGAACTTTGCTCAATATTTGACTAAATGGAAAGACTTCTCAACGCTTTTACCATCTGTATCCCCGATTGTGCTTTTCGTCTTCGAGAAAGGAGAAAGGAACCCGTGCATTTCGGAGAACTTCGAAATTTTGCGGGATCGAGGGGCCATACCGTGTTGATAAGCTTCGCGCAACTTGATTCTATTTTTGCCCTACTTTTAAAAGTCTCTTCTTAATCCATGTAAAACGTCATTTCAGGTGCAGAACGCATGAACGAGGAGTGCCTGCTGGATCTGCAATGCGAGCCCCTCGGCCAGGGCGCCGTGTGCACCAATGGAAAATGCACCTGTAAGATGGGGTGGCATGAGAATCAACAAAAGTGTGTCCCCACCAGAGGTGAGACAATGCAGATATGAATGTCACCCCACTTTGACTTTGGTTTTCCACTAAAAATATCTGTCGCCTTCACTTCACTGACGTGTTCTGAAATTCAGAATTGGGTGAACCCTGCACCCAAGATGGGGAGTGTGCCACGGCCAAAAATGAGCAAGGAGTGGTGGTCTGCCACAGAAGTACACGCACTTGCCAGTGTCAACAAAATTATGTGGAGAGGGAAGGTGGAGTTTGCTGTAAGTACATAAATAAGTTCAGGGTTATCCGAAAGGAATAATGTGGCCGTCTGGAGTCAAATGATTATTATAAAATACTTGAAGGGGAAAAAGTGAAGAGATACTGGTAACAGATTGTTTTTTTTTAATGGGTAGGTATTTAATTTAAACATTACAATAAATAATTACATAATCATAGTAAAGTGCCTAACTGAGAAGCACTGCAGGCTAGAACTTGTTAAATTATAAAATTTGCAGAGATGGAAAGTGGGTGAATTCACTGTGCTCCTCTCACTTTCTTATCACTAATAAATTTAAGTGGTCATAACAAGAAAGCCATTTCTAAATCTTAATAATTGTTACAATACCTCAACAGGGTGTGGTAAACATCTTTTCTGTTGCAGCTGGAGCCGGCAAGGTCAATAACGTTATAGCAATGGTTATCCTTGCTCTTCATCTACTGTATATCATCAGTTAATTCATTCTCTGAAAAGGTATGTTTCCTCTGAAAGAAGACACATGTGAGGTGATCTAATAATCTCAGAGTCAGAGAGAAATTTCATTTAAAAAAACTGAGAGAATTGCTCCAGCAAGCAAACATTGTAAATAGATTCTTAAATATTCACAGCAGTTAATACTAGTTTACTGAAGTACACGAGCAACCACATATCACTATGTATAGAATGTAAAATGACCAGAGAAAAAGATAATAAATTTTGTACTACATTTCATTGCTCATGTTAGATGCCTATGAAAGACATCAGTTACACACACACATATGCATACACAAACACACATCTTCTCTCCAGACCAAAGCTTCTTCAGTGGAATTGTAAACCTTTTACCATATGAAATTGGACTAGCTTAAACTACAATCAAGTGCAAAATTTAGAGACAGCCATCAAGCAATAAAACATGATAAAGTGAACAGATGATGCAAGAAACACAATCCAATACTTATGTGTAGAGTAGAATAAAATCCAAGTACAGTGGTTCCAAAATTTATGTTTTAAATTAGAAGAAATTTAAAAGTACCAACCAACACGTTCAGTACAGGAATCACAAAGCAATGCCCTTACAATAAGCTATGAAGTGCTGAGATTCCTTAACTATTCTGTTCCACTCATGATTTCGTACTTAGAGGCACCACCCTGGTCTCATGGTTTCACCTTCAGTTCATTCCAAACAAATTGCATGAAGAGAGCAGCAGAAATGGGTCCCCAAATGAGAGCAATTGTCCCATTCTAAAGAATAATTGAACACATCATTTTAATTATTTTGTCCAGTAATTTCACAATGACAAAGCAGAATCAAGGGTTCTTGAATCAACAGTCTTGAGGCCACAGCAAATCACTCACCAAAATCAATTACATAATACAAAGGTCATACCTAAACTTTAGAATATTATTTTAAAATAATTTCATACAATGTAGAAAGCTTTGCACCTTCCACACAAAGTTTTGTTTTGCATGAAAGAGATACAATCTTTTTTCTAGCTGCCTTAAAATACTAGAAACTATGAGAAATTATGTGCTATACACAAACTTCCAATGCATTTTATGATGGTCTTTCAGTCTGCTTCTTTGCTATTCTTAATATCAAAGGATGAACATGATGACATCAGTGATTCAAACATAAGGAAATGAGAGGAGCATTTGAACAAATTTACAAAGGTCTCAGTATATAATGGTACTTCAGCATTCTAATAACTCAAATTTCAACTCAGCATAAGAAAATATTACCTGAAAAAAAAAAAAAACACAATAATAATACTGCAGGATTTTAACCGCAGGCCTCTCGGACAAATGAAGAAGGAAAGAATGAACATCATACAGATGAAGAAAACAGAGAAATGTTATTAAACAAGGATTCTTGGATTTTTTACTAAAACTGTAGCCTAGCAAACAATCTTTCATAACAATACACAGCATGAAAATATATGATTTAACTATTTCTAAAGCAAAATGACCTAAGTCATAATAATTTAGTATAAATCCAGCTCATGTACCTCATACATGTAGCCAATGAGGAAGACAAATTTCGTCAAATTGAGCTACCTTTCATTTCAGCCCACATTTCACTTTAAAATCATTTCTTCTCAAAAGAGTAACATGAATTGTGCAATAACATATTGAACAATTGGAAAATTCCATAAAAATTATAACTATTGGCAGTTGAGATAAAAATTAACTATCATCAAAACTGGTCACAAGAAAATTTAATTCATTTAAATATCACATCGACCTGACATGATGTCTCTTCAGGGAACAAGGTTCACACATTGAAGAGAACTATTATCCATAAAACCATTATGAAACAGAATACAAATTCTCTACAATAAGATTCAGCTGGCATGGTAATGAAAACTAGTAATAGATTCACTTCCATAAAAAACAACAAAAACATAAGCGACAAAACTATGTGAGTACAATTTGCATGTGAAAAGAAACTTAAATAGTTTCTCCAACAAAATTTTCCCTTACATAAGAAAGTTTTGAGAAAGCACAAATGAAATAACAACTATTATCCATGATAGTACAGTATTTAACAATCACTGATAAAATTAACAAATAGGGGCAATCACAGTCCTAGCAGCACAGTTGTCGCACTTGGCTGCGAGCTTGAAGGAGCGGATGCCTGTCTCACAGCCATTTCCCACGTATGAAGCAGTTGTGAGACAGTAAACCGAACAGGAAGTTTCTTCATTCTAACATCCAATGCAGTTTGTACTGCTTGCAAAAAGTCTGTGGCACCATAATCATGTTGTCCAAGTGTATAGCGAGGTGGAGATGAGGGATAATCCTCAGGCACAGTAAGAGATACAGGAGGAACACAAGGCAAATGTCTATCATCGAGCCAACACAGCAAATGAATTGAATTAGCACCCGACTGCTGAGTTTGGTCCAAGCTAACCTGAAATACAAAGAAACATTGACCAATGTCTGTGTGATATCTTGAGGAAATTGCATATATATCAAGTCAAATTTACTGACCTTGAACCGTTGATCAAGTCGGGCTATTTCTCCTTGGAGAATCTCTGGTACGTCATTAGCTACCTCTTCAATTTTTTTCTTTTTAGGAGGCGGTAGCAACCTGAAATTGAAATGATGGGAACCAAGACCATGATTTATTTGAGATTCCTTATCCAATTTCAAAGGTTGATGGAAACATTATTGCCATGTACTTACTTGAGATCAGAGCCAAATAAGGCTATGTTGGTAGCGCCAAATGTACGCTGCAATGTGTGATTTGCCATGGGGCTTTGAAGCGTAGAGCTAACCGCCTCCAGCAGAGGTCGGAACAAGACATTATCCTTCAAAGAACCCATTGAAGCACTGGGAGGTAAATTGCTAGGAGAATGTGCTGGTGGATGCTCAATATACTGTAAGAAAATAACAAACAAGCGTAATGAGAAAATAGAATATGTGTGAAACTATGGTAAAATACTACACAAAAATTCTGAGCTTACTCGTGCAAAGTCTAGTTTTTCCAAAACTACTTCACACTTATTTAACGTTTCTATCTGAGTGCGTTTATTGGGATTAGACAGAAGATCTAAGAGATGCTTCATCTTGCTCATCTTGTCACCATCTGTAGGAGGAAATAAATTTGATTGATTGTTTATTTATTTGCATTAAATAAAACCGAATAATAAAAAACAAATGCTGAAAATTACCCTTTGCATTTGCACTCATGCTGACAATCATCCGACGTAAAGGGTCAATGTATTTACTTAAGTATCGTATTTTCTCTCTGTATGCCTGCTCTTCAGGAGAAGGCTGAGCTAAGGGACTAGGGGTGGGTTGAGCCTGTCCTGGAGTGTTCAGAGATGACCCAGGAGACAATGCTACACCTTAAACAATTTATCAAATAAAAAAATTTATCACATTGTACATTATTTACTTGTCAGACACACTTGCAGCACATTTAAGCACGCACCAATTGACCGTTGTTGACCTGAGACAGATCCTAGCTGAGAGCCTGGGGATGGAGCCAGGCCAACCGCAGGTGAAGAGGCCATTTGGTTACTGCAAATTTAGAAGACAGACCGATACAATTGTGCGTTCCCTAAGGAAACTTTCAGACAAAACATCAAAACTGTGACAAACTTGAATTACCTAGGAGGTCCAGCACCAATGCTTGCTGGGGACTGGACGCTTGGTGAAGGACTCTGACGAAGGAACTGATTTGGAGTAACGTTACGAGGTCCCACAAAATTCGCATTTTGGTTCATCATAGCGCTTTCATTACCCTATGACAGAACAATTATTTTTTTGAGGATATAATTATTTTTTAGCGCAAGAAACAAGCGAAATACAAATTAAAATACTACCTTTCGTTGAGCCATGTGCACAGCATTAGGCATTTGACCAGGGTTCAGTTGGTTGCCCATCTGATTATGCATCTGATTGCCCATCTGAGCTCCTCCCATTGAAGGGCCCATTTGGTTCTGCATAGGAATGTTCCCAATCGCACCAGATGGCTGCTGCAGCTGTGCCCCCATTTGTCCATGCATTTGATTACTCATCTGGTTAGTGATTTGTGGTCCCATTTGATTCATCATTTGGTTGGGACCAGCATTGTTCAAGTTTCCTTGCATTTGATTTCCTATTTGCCCATTCATTTGACCTGGCATAGATCCACTTATCTGGCCACCAATATGATTGTTCATAGGGTTCAACATCTGAGATGACATTTGCCCATTCATTTGATTAGGCATCTGTCCACTAGGTCCACTCAGTTGTGGGGGCATTTGATTTCCCATTTGATTATTTATCTGAGTCGGCAATTGACCATTCATTTGGACTGAAAGCTGTCCTTGCATTTGACTAGGAATTTGTCCATTCATTGCCATTTGACCAGCCAATTGGCCGCTCATCTGACCCATCTGCCCAGTCATCTGGCCACCCATCTGCCCAGCCATTTGGCCACCCATGGGGCCACCCATTTGGCCCTGCATCTGGTTCTGCATTGGCCCTCCCATCTGGGCTCCCATTTGGCCACTCATTTGACCAGCCATCTGGTTGTTCATGCCACCAGTCATATGTCCCGCCAACTGGCCTTGCATCTGCCCGGGCATTTGACCTCCCATCTGCCTCGTCATTGGGTTGCCCATTTGAGCGCCCATCGGGCCACCCATGGGTCCCATCTGCCCACCCATTTGGTTCATCTGGCCCCCCATTTGACCCATCTGGTTAGGCATAGGTCCCTGCATCTGTCCCTGCATTTGTCCTTGCATCTGCCCAGGGATCTGCTGTCCCTGAAATGGACCAAATTCCATTCATTTGAAATCATTTTCATAGTTTGCAGTGCGCATGGAGATAAAAAGTTTGTAACATCAATTACCTGGACATTAGGACCTAGGCCCTGCATTCGCTGCATCCCGGGTCGTTGGTTCAATGTTTGAAGCACTGCAATAAGAAAAGATGACTCTTTCATTATATTTCCACCCCTTTATTTTTCTAAAAATAAAGACAATGAAAAAGAAAATTTAAAAACTTTTACATACATGTTGTGCTGTTTGGCTGTTGCTGACCACCTGGTCCTGCACCACTGCCTGGACCTGGTCCACTTCCTGTAAAAGTAAGATCAATAAACTGCTGTTACAAAAGAAAGGTACCGTAATGGCCCAAATAAAAGCCTTTGTTGGCATTTTTTTTCCAAGGGGAGGGGTCTTGTATGCAGGGAAGCCTTATATTCAGACCTTTACAGTAGCACTCCTAGTTGAAGATACAGATATGAAATTTTATGATAGGTCAAAACTAATTTGGGCAAGAGTGATTAAAAAAGTGGAAATTCAGGAGGCAATACACTGCAAGCATGACGAAGCTACAAAAATGATTGGGCACTAATGAGGATGTCTTCAAATTGAAGAAGAAATCTAATGTAAAGGGTAGACATGAAAAGAAGTTAATAAAACAAATGAACACAATGTATGAATAATAACCCTTAAAAATTATAAATAAAATAATTGAAGTAGAATGCATTGTCATCTAGTACATGCACAGAGATTCAGCAAAAGGGATAAATTGAACAAAATATAATAATGAAATAAAGAAAAACAAAAACAAAAAAAAGACTGATACCCTTAAATAGAGCGGTTTACTGCTATCCAGCCACCATGCAAGTCAATGACTAGAAAGTGCACATAACACACAACATGCAACACAGGACAAAACATGTAAAACAGCTGAATTGTGAAAGTTGAATGCGCTTTTCCAATCATTACACTGCCAAGATATACCATTATAGAAATTTAACAACAAAATATCCCTTTCCTAGTCTACTTCTAAAGACAAAAAGAATCTATATTGCTTTAAGGCAAGCAATAACCTTAATAAACTTGATTAGCACAACAATTTCTGAGTAGTACATTTGCACAGCTGTTAATTTTCTACAGTGAGGCAGACCACATTCAAGCTTAGAGGCGTACCTTGCCTAGCCAGAGTCTGCAGAGCGTTGATGGGATCAGGTACACCCTGCATCATGCTCATACCCCCAACACCAAGGCCCACACTGTTCACCATTCCGCTCTTCTTCATCACTACGGAACACACAACACGGTCACATCATGGCCTCCCAGAAATGCAACAGTGCACATTCAACTTTCTACGAAGTTTTTCCAGCCTTATATCACTGTAATTTAACAGGAGTACACATTTTAACTGTTGGGTAAAGAACGTTAGTGACCATCATTGACTGACCATTACTAGCTTGGAACAGACTTTAAAAGAATGTTTTGTTTACTTCGAATTTTATCCTTTCAACTGAAAACCATAAGCTTACCTAAATTGAATTATGCTGAGGCCTGGTTGTTAGTGCCATGGTTCATGCTTCATTTGACGGATGATCAAAATGCACTCCACTGTTAACTCTTATCAACTGTGTGCTGGAAGCCTCAAGTTGGCCATTTTATGAGTTGAGTTTAAGTATGAGTAAGCTTCCATCCCTCAAGCATTTGAAACACTTACATAAAATGCAAAACAGCATGCTTGACACCTTTCCAGTCAAGAGAGAGAAACAAGAGAGATGAATTATGAGAAACACATGCTGAAGATTATTTTACAGGCATAATGAATATGATTTGGGAATGGTACCAAACTTCAAAACCACATAATTGAATGAGTGAATGATTGAAAGAATGAAGGGATGATTGAGCGGATGAAAGAAAGAGAGAATTTTGAACAGAAATTGTTCACTTTTTGTTGACAGGAAATAACAGAAACAGAATATGGTACGTGACTATAGTGGGAGAAAATAACTTATTCAATGGTTTAGACACTTACTGACTTCTCGTACATGAAGAATTAAACGAGCGACAAACCCTACATATTCTTCCTGTAATAGAAATACACATTTGTAAAATTAATTCTTCTAAAATTTTTCAACACAAATTTGAAAGACAAAGCCTAGGATAGAGAAAACAGGGGAAAATGGAAAGAAAAGGCACCTGTTTTTTTTTTCCTTTGAATAGCTAACAAAAATAAATCCTATGGATCCCTCAGCGTAAGAGAGCAACATAACAACCTATATTCCTTCCTATATTCTGAACAAGAGGAACCAAAGGATCTTCCAAATTATTTTTTGAAAAGAGAAATAAGACAAGCAGTAATTTTCCTCCATAATATGTGTGGCCATTCAATGGAAACAGTCAGAGAAATTCTGATTAATTTGAGGCTTCATGTAAATGCGAGTTATCCTTCAGCAACCATAATTCCATATCCGAAAAACCAAGGTTGAATGAGAAAACAAGACACAAGAGCGTTTAAAGCTGAATAATTTTGTTTCACTCGCTTCTGGATGACTTTAGAACATTATAGGCTCACCCGAGTCTTAGATTTCTCGAACACATGCGTTTCCATTTCTCGGCTATTCCTTGCGGTGGGCATTCCAGCTGCCTGAATCGCTTCATCACTGAAAAAACAATTAACATGTCATGCATTTTACAGCACGCTATGCATCTCAGCGAGAAGTAGTATGAAATGGAAAAACATCTCGCTGAGAGAAAGAAGGACTCGCACAGGACAGGAATTGTATTCAGCCGGACTATGCAAAATCTGTTACATTGTGGAGGGGTGAAAAATTTGGGAGCCACCCTCCAGTACATAACAGAACAGCCTCTTCCTGTTCCCAGTCCACACTACTGCAGCTAAGTACCAAAAATTTACCAGCCGAAGGGAGGTTATGGCTCACTATTAAAAACATCACCCGCAATCCTTTTCTTAGGGATCCAAAACAAAAGACTATGAAAAATGAGTAAAACAAGAGATTTGAAAGAGATTATGTAGTGATGAACATAAAAATTACAGTTCCTTACATTTTGTTGACAATGTTTTGTCTGAAACTCGGAGTCCTCCAGGCGTTATCATCGTTGGACATGATTGGGGACACAGATATGTTCAGTTTCAACGGCGGTTAATGCATCGAAGTGGACCAGAAATAAAGATTATAGCTAGCAGAAATCAGGCGTTTTTTGCGTGCCATCAGGCGCCGTCAAATAACATCACAAATAATGTAATTCAGTGTGAATCTAGGACCGAAGACGCACTAAACACGCAACCGCAACCCCTTCCCTCCTCCCTTTCCCCTCCCCACGGCCCGGCAGATGTTCTTCATCTTGTTCTTGTTCTTGCTCTTAAAGAAGCTGAGAAAAGAGCAGAAAGCTGTAGAAGTGAGAAGGTGGTGTCACATTGTAAAATTGTGAAATATCTCGTCCAATCGGCTGTCGCAGGCCAATTTGCAGTATCCTTCCACCAATTTCTCTATGTCGAAGCGGTCCAAGGACCCTTGTAAACCATTTGCCTGCGCCATTCAAGATTGCCTCAATGGTACGTGCTGCGGTGTAAGGTGAAAGGTTAGGGCAAAGCAATTTCTTGGCATGTTCCGAAAAAGCGCGTCATTTTTTCAAGGACCTAAGTTTTTCTAGAAAAGGACGTTTATTGACGTCTCTTTATAGAAAAAAAATTATGTTTTCGTATGGATAGAAATACTACTTGATTAAGTTCTCATGCCCAGGTCTGCTACATTATGTTAAATATTTTCATAAACCATTCCTTATTTTGTTTTCAGCCAAAAACTTTCAAGAATCGGCCTGTGTTGATGTAATTGAAAATTTGAATGAGTGCTGTCGTCACTGGAAACACAAGTCTTTAGTGTGTTCTGGTATGTTAATTGGCCCAGCAGAAGTAGAGAAAAGTGATGTCAAGTCAGACGGAACCTCAGGGTAAGAAGGATGTGAAACTTTCAGTAGATAATAGCCACTGCACTGACTCCTTTCTGTGTCTTTCTCTTAGTTTTCGTAACTTTGTCTTAGTTTCCTAACGAGCATGTCTGTTTAACATTACAGGGTCGAGGTTCGGAAGGCGTAGATTTGGCCCAGTCGAAAAGACAACATTCTTTGGCCGCCACTTTCGGGCCATCCATCACTTAGTTGTCATTTTGGGAGTGTCAGGTTTCTTTGGCCCCTTTGTCTATCGCTATTTCAACAGGCCGTCTTTGGACGAAGTAGTGTTTCCTCAAGGCCATCATAGACCGGATTATAAATTCATTGAACAGGAACTAAATAGTAAGTTAAGGGTTGATAACTTTTGGTATTTTTGAGGTTTAATGTCTTTTATGTTATAAATATTTTCTCTGTCCGGTTGCAGAATGGAGATAGTCAAGAAAGCACGTTCCCGCTTCCGACAATATCCCAATCTGCTTGTTGAGTGTCGTTTTGAGGGTAGTGCTTATGCAGCGTGTGTTGCCCAAGAAGGACACATGCAGAAAGGGAGTTGCCAAGCAGAGTTTGAGAAGTTCAAACAATGCTTAGTTAAGACTGCAGCCAAACTAGGAACGCGGTTATAAGTCTGATTTGTACTATTTTGTCAAACCAATGTTGTGAATTTGGCTGGCACAACAGTTAGTATTTATGTAGACTGTTATTTCTTAGCAATAAATCAGTGTAAAAAGTTAACTTCTGTATATCTACCAAAATGAAACATTTTCTCTTTGGTCTCACCATCCGCTTGGTCCTCATATTGTATGGGGAATTCCATGATAAAACCTTTGTTGTTCCATTTACTGATGTAGATTACAAAGTTTTTACTGATGCGGCTAGAAACGTTCTTATGGGAGCGTCTCCTTACAGTCGCCACACATATCGGTACTCTCCCCTAGTTGCATATGTATTAACACCTAATATATTTGTACATCAAGCATTTGGTAAAATTTTATTTTCTGTGTTAGATCTTCTTATGGCCCACCTTATACATAGGCTGATGCTTAAACGAAATGTTAGTTCACAAAAAGCACACCTTAGTGCACTATTCTGGTTGTACAACCCTATTTCTGTTGTGATCTCTACTCGGGGAAATGCTGATACTTTGTCATCTCTGTTAGTAACGGCCACCCTTCTCTGTCTATATGCAGGCAAACCTGCCTGGGCTGGAATAGTCCATGGTCTGTGTATTCACATGCGTTTGTACCCCGTAGTATTCAGCCTGCCTCTCTACCTTTCTTTGTCAAGTGGAAGTAGATTTTCATTAGTTACTGCGAGTGACCGCGGGAAAAGTAACATCTGTGATAAAAGTGGCTCTAGTTCTGAAGGACCTTTAACAAAAGATGGTCCTAGTGCAAGCAATGAAAGTTCTGGCTTGTTTGTCGAATTTAAGAGGATTTTCATTCCTAATAAGTCCCAAATCAAATTGGTGCTGGGATGTTCATCTGCTTTGCTTTTATTAACTGCTGCCTTTTACTGGTTGTATGGCTACCACTTTTTGTTTGAAAGCATGATCTTCCACCTTGTAAGGAAAGACATACGTCACAACTTTTCAGTTTATTTCTATCTGCAGTACTTGAGCGCTGGGGCTGTAGTTAGCATTTGGCAAAGAATTCTCATGTTTGTCCCGCAACTCTTTCTCCTCCTTGCATTGAGTGTTCGATATGGACGTATGGTTGATTTGCCATTTTGCTTATTGGCTCAAACTATTGTGATAGTCATGTATAATCCTGTTATAACTAGTCAGTATTTTGTTTGGTTTTTGTCGTTGTTGCCAGCTTGCATACCAATGCTTGATTTGACATTGAAGCAAGCTGCATTTCACTCTGTGGTTTGGATTGTTGCCCAACTGGCATGGCTCTTACCAGCATATTGGCTTGAATTTAGAGGTGAAGATACATTTGTTTATATTTGGCTTCAAGGCATTGCTTTCTTCTGTGCAAACATGACACTCCTTGCTCGCCTCATAGAAGCCTACAAGCCAGTCCAAGAAGTTGCAAAAAAGCCCAAAGTAAAGTCAAAATAGTTTTAAAATTGCTAAATATGAAATGGGGTTGTAGCATTTTAACAAAAGTTGTAATGTCATTTAGTTTGTAACATTTAGATTTTTGTACTATTCAAAAAAGCCACCTCAGTGAATTTTTGATTAGAAATCCTAGTTGTATCTTAGTTTTGAAATTTGCTGCAGCTTATGTTGAAGAATTACGACTGCTTTGAGTGGTGAGTAGGAAGGACATCTGCACCAGTCTTTCTCTGGTTTGCAATGGTAATCCCCATTTTCTTCAATTGTCCCCAATCCAACATGAACGCTGCATATTTGTTCAATCTCTGTTCCTCATGAGTTGATTCTGCCTCACACAACGGTTGTGCCATAGGTATAAATTGGTGTTAAAATATGTTAGCTATGATACAATAAAATATATTGAAATTCAATTGTATGTTAAAACCACCGCCTGATATGCACACAGTCTAAAATGAGAAATTGATAATTTTTAGAAATATCAACTTGTTTATCTGTCATTTAATCTTACCCCTCATTTGCGCTATGAAAGGCTTAGGCACTTCACATGTTGGTTGAATGAAAAACAAGGACTCAAAATATCAATTCAATCATTTATTTTGTAAAGATAAAGTTCTTAAGCCTCTGGCTGATGACTCAATGGGCCACAACAGGATAAAGTTACAATAAAAGCATAATAAGGTATCACAATAGAGGATATTATCCTGCATAAACAAACTAACAGAAACTTATCTACCATTACATGACATTGAAGCATTCAGAGAAAGTAAAGAAAACAAACACCGCAGTTGAGCCGATAGAAGTTGTATCAAGATTTGATGTGAGACTAATCCCCACACCGTGTTTTTTTCACTGGACCATCATCATCTATTGAATTTGCTGCAAGGAAGAAAAAATTTTATTGTCATTTCCATTAATTAAGCCATCTTCGAGGCAACAGATACCCACCAATTTAAACAACTTACCTCTTTTCTTTGAGGGTGTTGTATGAATTTCAACACACTCCTTAAAATGTTTAGAATATTCTGATTTTTTGGTAAAACGGTGATTACATAGTTTACACAATATGTAACTCAATTCCTCTGTAGATTCTACACTTTTCACTTCTACAACTGCTTTGTCTGGTTCTTCACCATCCTGATCTTCATCAGTATTAAGGTTTCTGGAAAGGACAAGAAGAGAAGTTTGTTGGAAACATTGAGAGAAATCCTCAGTGGTTATCCATCAAACACAGATATTGCACATAATAATACATAACATCAATCGGGCATGAGGCCAAAGAACACAAAAGCTCTAGTATTCAAAAGAGCAAAAAGTAGAGGCTGCAAGCCAGAACACTAAAAGTAAAAAGAGAGGTACATACTGTACTTACTCCCCCTCAGCACCACCACCACCAGGACCACAGCAATCACTGGCATGGACCTGAAATTGGAAAATAGAAAGATATCATGTACCAGTATTGTATAAGGCATCAAAAGAGTTTCTTTAAAAGATAGTCAGGTTATTGGTCACTTACCTGAATTTCATGTTTAGGAAATATTTCAGCACAGAGTGGGCACTGCAAATGCAAAAAAAGTTATGTAAAATAAATCCAAAAAAAACAAAAAAAAACGAAGAAGACACAAAGCTGGCAATTGAACATTACCGCAACATTGTCAGGAGAATCCTCTGATGTACTGGGAGGAGAGGGCATGTCATCAGGTCTTGGATTATCTCTAGATCTTCTGGCCTGAGTGGAGTTCCTAGATTGCCCAGGTTTGGCGAAAAATGATTTGGGTGAAATTCCAGATCCAGATGAATCCTCAATTCCTGGTGCATCATTTCTAAACCACCGCCTGATATGCACACAGTTTAAAATGAGAAATTGATATTTTTTTAGAAATACTGTATCAACTTGTTTATCTGTCATTTAATCTTACCCCTCATTATTTGCACTATTCCGGGCATTAGTTTCTCCCTCCATGTGTTGAGAGTTGCCACCTTTAGGCCTTGGATTTTGTCCATGTTGGTTTGGTGGTGCTATTTGACCCTTCTGCAGTCTTAGTTTAGTATTTCTTGATTCTGGCAAAAAACAAGAGAGTCAAGGGTCAAGTTATGCTAAAGGTGCCTTGGGCCTTGGTGGCTTGGGGCACATGGCGGCGTGGCAGCTTGCCGGCCGGACGCCCTCGTAAAAACGTCCATCAAAGGACTCTAGATACAGTGTACAGTACATACTCTGGCTTTGTTGAGACGTGCCTGCACCTCGTGGCCTCTGAGGCCCTTTGGGCTCCCAGTCAACATCAGCTTGGGCAGATCTGCTGCCACCTTTCCTAAAATTCTTCTTGTTTCTTGTCTGTTGCTTTTCCCAAATATCACTATCGTCGTCTTCATCATAAGCGTACGGATCCGAAGAGCCACTAACTTTGGCTGGCTCCGAAGGGAAGTCAAAATCACCATCAGAAGACTTTCCTCTCTAAAGGTTCATAAAATTTAAGTCAAATTAATTGTACTAATGGGAACAAAGCGTAAAGTTTCTCAAAATATATAACCAGAAAAGTAAGAAACAAACCTGCTCATCCCTATTACTAGCCCATTTATCAGAACTTGTAGCAGATGGTGTGTCCTCTGTACAATCAATGTCATTAATTTCAACATCCTGCTGTTTCCGAGAGATCCAAGCATTGTTAGGTGGCCTATTTCCATGCCCTTGATTTTTGCTGTCATTGTGTCGTGACTTCCTAAGGCTATGAAATGCTGGTTCTTCAAAGGGGCCTTCACTCATTGCTTCTTGTATTTTCGTCACTGCTCTTGTTTTGGACTGACGATCCGCTCGTCCATGAGTTGTTGTGGTCCCAACTAAAAATAAGAATTAGGTAAAATACTGATAGAAGGATTCAGTTTGGCATGAAAAGAATTAAATACAAACCTTGAGTTTCGGGAGAACTAGAGAAAAGCTGGCTGAACTTTGGAGTCGTCTCCTTGAATAGGGTCCGTTTGTTGAAACTGCCACCATCAGTAATCGGTGGTCCCCAAATAGGATTTTCTTCCTTCAATTTTTTCCACAATGCTATTCGACACTCTCTCACCTTTTCATTAGCTTTGGCCATCCATAATGCCTTGTCGCCTCTATATTTCTCCAAGTCTTGGAAAAAGTCTGAAAAACCATTGGGTGGCAAGCCTCTGCAAATTTATTAAAAGGATGTTAAAGAGAATGATGAGAGTAGTGTGTCAACATAAAACCAAATACATATTTCAAAAAATTAAATAATTTTTTTAAAAATGATCTTGCCTGTTCATTGATTCCAACGGGCTGACCTGAGCAGCAACTTTTCCGATGAAAATGGTCTTTACAGGTTCTTTTTCATCTCCACCAGCATCTTGAACAGAGGCTGGGGAGTCAGGCTGAGAGAACAAACCCACTGAAGTTAAAAATAAAAAAGTAACAAAAAAAGAAAAATAGTGTGGGGCACAACGTTTACCTCAATGTCACAGACAGCTGTTTCTTCAGGACCCCGGGACTCGACATCAACTAGTATTTCATTGTCACCTTGAGGACCCTCTTTCTCAGCTTCCAATAAGTTGTCAAACAAATCCTGACTGTATATATCAGGAGAATTCTGTTGGAAAGATTGGCTTGGGGGACTATGAGAGCCAGCAGAGCCAACAGTGGTGCCATCTGGAGACCCAGGACCATTTCTTTGAACAACTGGAGGCGGAGACCCAGAGCTAGAGACACTCGCTGGACTGTGTGCGCTCCCAGGACTTGCGAGATGACTCGATGAATTGTTAAGTTTACTGCTTGCTTGAGGACCTAAGGTGGAGTCAGGTTTCTGTCCAGGACTACAGTTTATGTCTAAGACTGGATATTTAGTCCTAACTGGTTTGGCTCGGCCTCGGCCAGCAGTCTTAGGAGATTGACTTGTTCCTGGCTGACCTGTATGTAAAGAGAGCAATAAAAAATATTAGTGCTACATTAATTTCAAATACAAACATTTCAGCAAGAGATTCAGTACTATAGGCATACCGAAAGTTATCGCTTTGTTCAGTCTCCCCACATTTTCTTCCATGACTACATCATTGTTGGAAGTTTCAGCCTATGATACAAATTAAATTTTATGAAAAGAAATAAAAGACAAAAAGCTTCAAGGTACTGCTTACACTGCATACTCAAAACAAAAAGACACACTGATTCAAAAATGAAGAGAACTTACTTCAACATCAGGAGATGGCTCAGGTCTATCACTGGGACTTCCAGGAGAGTTCTGATATAAATCCTCGTTTTTCCTATTACAATTATCGTCTTGAGAGTTTACAACTGCCGCATAGAAGGACTTCTTCTCTGCCTCATTCATACCATCTGGATCAGCACCCGCCTCTAGTTTCAAGCAATAATAAAAAAATTAGACACAAAGATACATGTAAATTAATCAAACAGGCCCTTTCATGTAGAAACGCAAACTTACTTTTGATGGCGTCACACATTTTTTCATCCCAATCATCCTCATCGCTTTTTCTACCCCGTGTTAACATCCTTGATGGCGGAACACGGCAGACCCTGAAAATTAGAGGAGACATTAGAGAACTAACGACTGAGGCGACCGGTAGCTGCTGGACCAAATGTCCAGCCTATCACACCAGAGTTGGAGGTTAAGGCAACGCCGGGGCCAGCAATGATGCAATAGCAAAAATACGGCCCAACACCTGGGTTCCAACCACTATCCAATTTGGGGGGAATCTGACTGTACTAGACTCCGACACAAACAACGCAATGTACCGGGATTTGTCGCGATTTCCATGACCACCATTCGCAGCCATCCTGGACGTGTTTGCATAAACAAATCGGTTTGGGAAACGTAATGCGAATGCGACGGCAAGGAGCGTTGGTGTAGGCAAGGTGTCATTCCGACGCTCGGCCACGACTCAAATCCGCAGGGCAGGTGGAACCACAGGTGCAGAACAATCAACGCAATTTACAAAAACATTCACAACTCACACTGTCACGCTTTTCGTTGAAGAGGGAACAAGTGGGAGAGGGGAGGGGAGGGGAGGGGAACAGGAGGGAAGGGAAGGGGAGTGGAGTGGAGGGGGAAGGAGAGCGAGATAGCTCGATTCACAGTATCGATATCTCGCTCGGGGGGAAGGACCGCGTGGGCCCACGTTTGCGCCTTTCGTCTTCGTGCTTTTCACTGCGTTAACGTGGGAAGACTGTGTCACAGTTTGTTCAATCCGCTCCTTGAGCTTGAGGGGCACGCCTTCGGCTTGGGGTGTCTTGGGGTGGGCGAGCCAGGGTGGGGCGACGGCGAGTGAAAATAAACTAGCTAAAGTCTAAGACTTCTTAAGGCTTCGCGATGTTGGTTTAATAAGGCTCCGCCTTTATGCAGCTTATATTCAAGCCTTTATTCAAGTCGATTCAAGTTGTGAGGATGCTGTGTTGGTGGGGTGGGTCTGGGTGCATGGCTGCTGTGTTTTGGGGGGCGGTGTCGTAGTTGTGGGCTGGTTTGCCACCCTTCCGTTTCAGAAAATATCAGAACTTTTATTTAATTCAAACACATTTTTTGCACACTCCGTCCGCACCATTATCTACCACTGATGTACAATATTATATCCTTATTAACATTTCTTTATTCTCATCCCCTCTTTCAAACACGACTCCTCTTTTCCAACATTTTTTTTCTTTCTATGTTGGCAGTAAAATGCCCCATCCCACAGTCACAAACTTACACTATCAAACATGTAGGAGCTCTCACCTTTCTACCAATACATATAATAAGTTTTCGAAGCATCTTTTGCCGAATATTCATTTCTACATTTCCCCGCTTCTTTCTTCTGCTATTATGCATGCTAAATTGTTCATTTCCCCCATTTCCTATCCATTACGGCCAGCTTGTTAAGGTTGGCATCACACTTTCAAAATAATCAACCGCACGTCCACGGATCACCATTGCTCGGTCGGCGCCCCTTAGACTTCTGGCCGAGTGGGATGAAGCTTAAGAACAATTCGACGAAACTTCGAAGTGGCACTCAGCCAAATACCTTATCAATTTACGGGCAGTCTTTATTGCACAGGGAAGCGGGACCGGGTTGAGGCTTGTCTTTATTTGGGTGGGTGGGGCCGAGGGGTGACCCACTGTAAAATTTTGTGTACAATGATTGTGTAAATGTGCAAGAATGTGCAAGATTTCGGGCGTTTTTGCCACACATGTTGCCTACTTACAGGCGTTTTAACCACCTGAATGTGGAATGTAGTCAAATTTTGTACAACGAATGTGGGAAGCTGTTCCCCCCTCGGGTGGGGCGCAGGCAAGGCGCAGGGAGCTAGGGCGTCTTGCTGTAGAACTTGTTGGCCCTGCGCAGGGCCGCCGACGTGACGGCCGCCTCGCAGGGGCTGCCGTCCCAGAAGGCGCCGGGGCAGTTGAGCAGCTCGAAGCAGGAGTACCGGACGGCGGCGGACTGGGGCTGGCAGCACGTCAAGATGGCCCACACGCACTTGGACGGCGGCCCGTCCTGCCGAGCGCGGCGCGCGGCAAAGCAAAGCGTTGAGTTAGTCAGTCCGACTGATTCCGAGAGTCCTGTTGTTTTCGCTGCTCTGTCTCTCTCGCACTCATGGGCTGAAGGTGCGAGAGAAACAGAGCGACGGGAACGACTCTCGGAAACAGTCTACCGGTGTTCGACCGGAAAACAAAAATAAAACCGAGCTGGCTGCCCTCACTGTGTCTAATTCGTTGGTGGCTCCGCTGTGCTGGGCAATCGGCATCTTCGTTGAGGATGGAGGAACCGCAGGTGCATCTATTGGGGTGTAAACATAAATAACACAAGTTGATTTTTTGCAAAATAAACGAAGAAGAAAGAAACTTAACAGTTTTATTCTGTTTTTCTTTTTGCATGCAGCATTTTTTAGTCACGATTCTAATGACTGCGGCTCGTACCCGTCCTGTCGTCCAGCGGGGCTGCCCCGCCATCATTCGGCTGAGTCGGCTCCTTCGGCGGTTCCGGCCGTGCCGGCACGCGCGGCTTCATCTGCTGGCGCTGCAGCGCCGCCCAGTTCTGCAGGTGCGCGCGGCTGATCTGCTCCAGGTGGCGCAGCTGCTGCTCGGCCTGCACGTGCACGCGCGGGTCTGGCGCCAGCTGCTGCTGCTGCTGCAGCTCGATGGACCTGCGCGCCCTCAAGGCCCTCAAGGAGCTCCAGGGCGGCGGCGCGTGCGTGAAGGCCTGCACCGCGGCCAGGCTGCCCAGGGCGGCCAGCACCAGCAGCGGCACCAGGGGGCGGCAGGCCGCCGTCTGCATCTGCGGGCCGAGCACGGGGTTGGCAGTGTACTGTCGAGCAGGAGAGCCATAAATAACCTAACCTAACCTAACCTACCGTAACCTAACCTAACCTACTCATCTTCCCCTGTGTCGAGTGTGGCTTGGAAATATGGGCCCGCGGCAGGATGGGAACCGAGGCGGTAACGACTTGACTTAATACGGGGAAATTTGGAGGTAAATCCGGAGAAAATTTGGACGTGATCCGACGTACTCCTATGGTCGAGGGGTCGGCAACTTTTGGCCGTGTACGGGGGAGTATACGTATATTACCAGTAATATAGGTAATTAATGTGTAATACAAAGTAATACAAAGTAATATATAGTAATATAGGGGTATTATAGAGGCGAAATTGTGGTAATATGCAAGTAATATATGGTAATATAAAGGTAATATGCGGGTAATATAGCCACCGCGTACGAAGTAATATATGAGTTGCCGACCCCTCGCCTATGGTAATCTGGAGAAATTTGGAGGTGAGCCGGAGAAATTTGGACATAATCCGGGGAAACTAGGAGGTAATCTGGAGAAATGTGGACGTAATCCGGGGAAATCTGGGCGTAGTCCGGCGTTGGTAATCTGGAGAAATTTTGAGGTGATCCGGGAAAATTTGGACGTAATCGGCCGTACTCCTGTGGTAATCTGGAGGTAATCCGCAGGCGGTCCGGGTAATCCGTAGTCTGGCTGTTTGCCAGTCGTTACCGAGGGGTTGACCACCCAGCTCAGGAGTGTACACAGGATTACTGATTACCAGTGATTACCTACAAACATACTCAAAAAACTCCATAATTTTGGCCAGCTAAGGGCATTTTGGTCTAATTTCATTAAAAAAAAACGTTAACGCTAACGCTAACGTGAAAGCAGATGATACTTATGAGAATGTTTATTTCAATGTATGAATGTGACATTTTGTCAATTTATTTCAAAGAGTAAACACTCGGAACTCTTTTTTTGACAAATTTGTTACACATGGTAATTCATGGAAATGTCAATTTTAGTATAACTTTTGAATATCCTAACGTGCCATTGTTTTGTGTTAAACATGTTCGCAATGACGGTGGGGCACTCATAGGTCCGATACCACTTGTGTTGGGTATCATTTTCGTTGTTTCAACGCGAGGATGCACAATTTGGTGGCTAATCACATAAATACTCAATACCCGTAAAAGTTGTGTTCGGTACTAGGGCAAGGCGCCTTGCGGCACGCGGCGTGTCAGCCACATCTCCAAGCGGGGCCGGCCGGCCGGCGCGCCACCCGAACCCGACCTCAAGATAGATAAGCAAGAGTGGCGCACACTGCCGACGCGCCGCTTCTCGAGAGGGGCAGGGGTTCGGGGGGCGTTCTACGCGTTCTACGCACTCAAGGCTCAAGTGCGTGTGTGTGTAGACTGCTGCGGGGTGTGGCGGGGCGCGGCGGGACGTGGCGTCTCGGCTAGGGAATGGGCGAGGGGGGCAGCTACGCGATGCGTGCTAGCAGCGTCTCGTGACGACGCGCAACGTGAGGGACGCACTTCTTGAGTACTAGAGAGCTGGGTGTCGAGGTTATACGCCGCGCGCGCAACCCGAGGCCCCGCAGGCGCCCCGATTCATGGTGCGGCGGGCGACGGCGCGGCGCGGCAGACTGCGGGCCCTCCGCTCATAATCTTCTAGGCAGGCGAGCCAGCCGGTGCCTTGCCAGCGAGGCGCTCGGCCTCTTCTAGGCTTGCTAGTCAGGCAACGAGGCAACTCCTGCCTGGCTAGCCGGAAACTCGTTACTCTCTGCACGAGAGTACAAGCACGCTGATACGTGAACGTATCATCTGCTAAAAAACCCAAATCCGATAAAAACGGCGAAACTAGCCAGTTTTGGTGTGTGATTACCAATGATTACCGGACGAAGTGTACACACGATTACCAGAGTGGGTAACCCCTTGGTCGTTACCCCCTCGGCGTGAGCACGCCGCCAAGCCCAGCCAGCCCAGCCCAGTGACGAAGGCGGAATTCCCCCGGCAGTCTTCAGCAGCAGGGTGTCCACCTTTGCCTCCTGCTGGCGCGCTGGCGCTGGTAGAAGGCTGTGATTGGAATCTCCCGGCAGGTTCCAAGTCCTGCGTGGCGGGGAGGGGGAGAGGGGAGGGCGGTCGCACTGCGGCACGTTCATGGCAGTGCGTGATCCTTCATAATGGCACCGGACGCGTTAGTGGGTACCCGGCTTTCAGGCCCGCGCATTTCTCGGACCGGGACCATCGTCAACGCAACAGGACGTCGAGACAAGTGGCCGACTGGTGAAAAATAGTGAAAAAGAAAACAAACCCACGAGAAAAGAAAAACTCAGTGAACAGAGTGTTATCCGGAAAATGGATTTCCGCGCACTTTGATAGTAGTTCGGGGAATTCCCCGCTTCGCGTTTGCGATTTGCGGCGACCTTCGGCGGAGCGAGGCCAAGTCTGGCAGCCGCAATCGGAGTGAGGCTGCCTTCGGCTGTCTGGAGGAAACAAACAAGGGCAAGGCGGGCCGACGGAGATAGAGATACAGCAGCGCCCCTGGAGGACTGCTGATTCAGTGGTCTGCTCGCGGCGCATCGCCCCCGGCAGTGACTCCGGTCCGGACTCTGGTGGGCGGTCCCGAGGCACGCTCTGTCTCTCTCGCTCCCTTGCGGCACGCCGCTCGACTGCGACGGAGACGGCGCGACGAGACGATGCTCCGCACAGTGGGCCAGAAGACCGGTGGATGGAGGCGGCCAAAACTCTAGACGCGTTTTGAGCTCCAGAGTCGCCAAATGGGCCTCAAACTGAACGTGTGACCCTACCTATGGATTCCTCGTTCGGAGAGCAATCCATTGGTGGGGTCACACGTTCAGTTTGAGGCCCATTTGGTGACTCTGGAGCTCAAAACGCGTCTAGAGTTTTGGCCGTCTCCACCGGTCTTCTGGCCCACTGTGCTCCGGGACCGCTCGCTCGGCTGGAAACCAGCTCGGCGTCGAGGCTTCGACTTCCTCGCGGCGGAGCGTGGCACTGCGGAGCACGCACGGTCTCACAAAGACGGCCCGTGACGTCAAGCCGCGTCCCTGTCTCTCTCTCGCACCCCCGTGGGACTCTCCTTGAACGCGAGAGAGACAGAGCGACGAACGCGCGAACTTTTATTCCAGATCCACCTGCAGTATTGAGCCTCTTCGCGGAGCCTCGGCGCAAAAACCAAAGCCATCCGCCTCTCGCGGGGCGCAAAGCCGAGACGACAAGTCCGAGCGAGTCCCGGCGGGACACAGTGGGCCAGAAGACCGGTGGAGGCGGCCAAAACTCTAGACGCGTTTTGAGCTCCAGAGTCGCTAAATGGGACTCGAACCGAACGTGTGACCCCACCAATGGATTCCCCGTTCGGAGAGCAATCCATTGGTGGGGCCACGCGTTCGGTTCGAGTCCTGTTTAGCGACTCTGGAGCTCAAAACGCGTCTAGAGTTTTGGCCGCCTCCACCGGTCTTCTGGCCCACTGTGCAGGACTCGGACTCCGTACCCACCATGGACAGTGCGGTGTCGGCGAACGCGCGGAGTGTTGATGCTCGTTGACGGTGAAGGAAGAAGGAAGGATGCTCGCGCTTCAGTTCACCGTCAAAGACTGAGTCTCGGGATTCGCGCTTCGCGTCGCCTCGCCGCCAAACTCGCCAATCTCGTCCCGCGCCCGCCCCCCTCTCTTACCGGCCGCGCTTTGACGTCCGAGCCGGCCGCGGACCGGCTCCGGGCCGCCTGTCTCACTCGCACCCGCGGCATGACCCATGGGCGCGAGAGGGACAGCGCGACGAAAGCGAGCCTCAGGTTACTCGCTCGGCAGGGGCGCCCAGGCAGTGGGCCAGCCCGTCGCGCCTGCCTGCACTGCAGTGTTGCCTATCGCCGAGTCCGCGGGCGCTCCCCGCCCCGCCGCCCGGGCAGTGGGCCAGCCCGTCGCGCCTGCCTGCACTGCAGTGTTGCCTATCGCCGAGTTCGCGGGCGCTCCTCGCCCCGCCGCCCGGGCAGTGGGCCAGCCCGTCGCGCTTGCCTGCACTGCAGTGTTGCCTATCGCCGAGTCCGCGGGCGCTCCCCGCCCCGCCGCCCGGGCAGTGGGCCAGCCCGTTGCGCCTGCCTGCACTGCAGTGTTGCCTATCGCCGAGTCCGCGGGCGCTCCCCGCCCCGCCGCCCGGCCACGGGCCTCACCACACATCGTGCAACAACACACTGTTGGAGAGGTGTTTCGAGTCCCGTGGAGGCGTGGACTTCAACCGGCGTTCGACTCCCGGCATATTTCAAAATAGTTTCATAAGGAGTTTAGAAAATGATAGCAAAATTGTTCAACAATATGCACAGTTTGACAATTTATTGCGCAAAAGTCGACAGTCATGTTTTCCTTTATTTACAAAAGCAGACACATAATTGATTCCAAGGACTTTCGATTCATCTTGATGGTTGTATTTTATTCAAAAACAAAAAGGAGGAAAGGGGTATTGAAATAACTAACAATAAAACTATGAGAGGAATTGTGCCATGGGATCTTCCTCTCTTCTCTTTTTCATTAAATACGCTTCCATGTCTTCGTCTGATATTTTCTTCACCTCATACATGCTGTTGTATGGTCTCTTCCTTTCATCCAGCGCCAAGAGACGCTCTGCCTCCCTTTGCTGTTCTTCTTCTCGCTTCAGAGCCTGCATGAAAAAAATAAGAGAGAAGTGACAATGGCTGTGTTGTTAACTGAAAAGATAGGATAAAGATACTACAATAGCATACCGCTTTTAACTTGTCTTCTTCAGACTCCTCCTTCTGATCCTTCTTATCTGCTCTAGATTTTCTCTTCTTTTCCTTTCGCTTCTTCTTCTTGTTACGTTTCTTTTTCTTCCTAGCTTCTTTCTTCTCAGCTTCAGAGTCATTCTGAAAGACAAGAATTTTAAATTTTAAACCATACTTCATCCACAATAGAAATTTGGGAATGTCTTTTCAAAATTTCTTACTTCTGATGATGAATCAGAACTGCTACTGCTACTACTGCTGCTTTCTTCTTTACTCTTTTCTTCGTTCTGTTTATCACTCTCCTGTGTTTCTACATGACTGGTTTCTGGCTGAGCCTGAAGTACTTCAACCTTCCCCATACGACCCACATCGCCAACACAATAGGAATTCTGAGAAGAAAAAAAAGAGTGGATCAGAGCAGCACAAATTACAATGAAATGGACAATAATAGTGTGGAGCAGAGCTCACAATACTTGAGAATGTATTTACTTACCTTGATGAAAGAATTACAACATTTGTATCCCCATTGGCCATCTTTCCAAAAGGAACCCCAAACAGATGTGTGATTGTTGGGGAACACATCCTCTTCATATTTTGAACGGACAATTGGCTTTTCTGCACCCTAATAGAAAAAAAAAAGGTTAATCAAAAATATAATTTTTAAACGTAAAAAAAAGAATTAAAAGTAAAAACAACACAGAGGCAACACGAACCTTGAGAATTTTTCCTGTACGAGAATACTCAACATAATTTTCAGTTTGTGCTAAGAGAAGAGCTTTAGGTGGAGCGTCAAGGTGTTCTTCTCCTCCATACCGTTGGAGTACATCACTCTTCACTTTCCCTTTAAAGCCTTCCTTATGTTGCTGATATTCTCGTTCCAACATTTCAAGTTTGGTTGGTTCCGCCAAAAGATGCACATCAACACCTCGTTCATATGCTTCCCAAGCAAACAGTTGTGCCTCCCCATGTTTTCCTGTATCTCCAGTGAATCTCACAAAATTTTCACCTTTGTACTCACTAGAAACAAAATTAAAAACATGATATTAGGACATTTTAAACATATTGAAGAAAGAAATTAATGGTTTGTATTATTGACAAAACCAGACTTACTCATCCTCCTCTTTGGAAGTGCCGGCATTAGGGTTATCCCTCATAGATCTTGTTTTGGGATCATAATATGCAGAATTAGGATCCAGGTTTCTAAGGTATTTAGCCGTATCTTCTCGAATACGTAAATTACGGACAGTAATTCTCTGTTTGCTGTCTACCTTTGTACCAGGCATGTCAACTGCATCCACATATTTATCCTCATCTTCATCATCATCATCCAAGTCGTCAGGCTGTGGAAAATGTAAAGAGTTATGAAGAAATAATGATGATTGATTTAAAATATAGATGAACAAACCCAAAGATACCTCTTTTGAGTCACCCTCTTTTTCATCGCTCAGCTTCTGAGCTCTCATCTCTCTTTTAGCCTCTTCGATTTTTTGATATTCTTCAACAATGGCTCTGTGTTCTGAAGGGTCATAACCTGCCCATCTGTCACGTTTCCCATCAAAATCAAGGGAAAGGTTGGGCTGCTCATGTTCATCGAAGCCGATTTTGGCCCCAGTGTATTTTGCACCAACTTTACGAGGTCTCTCCATACAGTCCTTTGCTTTGTGAGTGACTGCTCCACAGTTAACACAAGCGCCTTTTCTATATTTGGTGACTACCTTCGTCTGTAACAAGTTATGAAATCAGTCAATCTGCCGAGAAGTTGATGGAAATAATCTATCAATGTCTACAACCAACTCATACCTGATCAACACCCTTTTTATACCACTCGTGAAGATTTGAAAATTCTTGTTGCTTCTCTGGTTGAGGCCGTTGATGTTTTAAAGTGGGACCAGAAGAGCCGTAGTACCAGGGAGCTGCGGAAATGTATTGCGGAATGTGAGGGTTGATGTCACGTCCTTCTTCGTCGACGGCAGCTGGTGCTGTTCCAGCCTGAATTTAAAAAAAAACCATATTAGTCTCATTGAACACAATGTGCGACAAAAATAAGAGGAACAAATGGTGCGAACCTTTCGCATCTCCTCCAGCTCCTTGGCCTTCCTCCAGTCCTCCCTGGACTTCTTTTTGGGCTCGTCATCTTCCACGGCCTCTTCTTTGCTTTTCAGGATAGAAGAAAGGGGAACGTTCTTCGGAGGATCCATGATTTCAGAACGTCGTCTTTCTCAAAATATCCGTATCAATTCAGAGGTTATGACACCATCAGAGACGATAATCAGCGATCTGACTCAGGTGTCGCGATGACATTTCGTTCTCCTCGGATTTGACGCCAATTCTTGCTTTGCGGCTAGTGATAACAAAACCCCTGAAGCTGAATAAACTAGAAAATGTCACAAACACAAACGTTGTGCACCGCTAACCAAAACAAAACAGTACCACTGCCCTCGACACGATATATCGAACTGAAGTCGAGTGGAACTTCGAGATGTGTTCGGCTGTCTCGTAGCGGCACCTAGCGGGCAAACGGGGAACTGCGGCGACGCGCGAGCGGGCGGGATGATTCAACCGGCCGCGCTGAACCTGACAGAACGCACTCCACGCTTTTCTGACAAAGCAAAACCAGCAGGCTGACCCCGATCGCTCTGTCGCTCTGTCTCTCTCGCACTCGCACTCCTGCAGCGTGTCGCACGGCGTGGTGCGAGAGAGCGCAGCACACGAGCGTCGTGCGGTAAGGTGCGTGCAACACGTGTGCGGCAACGGATTGATTCCGAACGGCGCTTCGTAGCTCTGTCTCTCTCGCACCGCGACGGGACGCCCCGTGAGTGCGAGAGAGACAGAGCGACGAAGGCTGCAGGCCGAGAGGCAAAGCCGAGAGGTCGTGAACAGGGCGATCGTGCCGCTGCCGCCGCTCACACGAAAGCTCCAAAGCTCCAAAGGGGCATAACTGTCAAACGGCTCTCTCTCTCTCTCTCTCTCTCTCTCTCTCTCTCTCTCTCTCTCTCTCTCTCTCGCTCTCTCGCTCTCGCTCTCTCTCTCTCGCTCTCTCGCTCTCGCTCTCTCTCTCTCTCTCTCTCTCTCTCTCTCTCTCTCTCTCTCTCTCTGGCACGCGCTCTGAATGCATGGCCGCATGAGGTCGGGCATGTCGCTTTCGCCTCGTCGCACCGTCGCATCGCGGCCAAGGTCGCTGCAAGCTGCGGGGTGCACCGATGGCACGCGCCGCTGCATCCGATGCGATGCAGCATCCGATGCAGCATCCGATGCAGCACACCCATCGCTCTGTCTCTCTCGCACCCTCGCGGCCCCGCCCCTGAGTGCGCGAGAGGCAGAGCGACGACTCCTGTTCACCGGCATCAGCCGGCCGAAGGCAGGGTCGCAGGCGAGTGGACAGTGCACAGTGGGCCAGAAGACCGGTGGGGGCGGCCAAAACTCTGGACGCGTTTTGAGCTCCAGAGTCGCTAAAAACAGGACTCGAAACGAACGTGTGACCCCACCAATGGGTTCCTCGTTCGGAGAGCAATCCGTTGGTGGGGTCGCACGTTCGGTTCGAGTCCCATTTAGTGACTCTGAAGCTCAAAACGCGTCCGGGACTTTGCCCGCCTCCACCGGTCTTCTGGCCCACTGTACCCCAAATTTCCTTGGCGGCGCACTGCATTCTAAATGGCCGGCCGCTCCTCATCCCACTGATGCAATACCGCGCTGTCCCTCTGTTGCCCCGGCCCGGCCGGCCTGCCCATGGGCCTGCCCAGGCATGGCCCAGGCCTGCCCTCGTCGTGCGAACGAGCCCAGTGAGGCCACACTAGGCGTGGGAGCGAGAGGAGGGCAGGGCAGCGGACCCATTCCGAGAGTCGTTTTCGTCGCTCTGTCTCTCTCGCACTCACGGGTCGTGTCGTATGGGTGCGAGAGAGACAGAGCGACGTCACCGACTCTCGGAATCGGTCTGCAGGGCGTTGCATCATTTTTCGTCTTTCTTCGCGCGTCGCGGGTCGCTCGGCCCGCGTCCTAAGCTGACCACACTGCAGGCTTACGGTGCGGCGCCTTATGCGTGTTTAATGTCCGACAACGCGCGTTTGACGCACATTCAGCCTTTTTTATTCCTCGCGGTGCAAGACGAGGCCGCGGTCTGCACTCGGCGGAACCTCCTAAATCACTCGGGTCGCCTCGGCCGCCGGCCGGCCGGCCTGCACACCGATTCCGAGAGTCGTTCTCGTCGCCCTGTCTCTCTCGCACCTGTACGGGGCGCCCCACGAGAGAGGCAGAGCGACGAGAACGACTCTCGGAATGAGTGGGCCTGGTCGTTGCCCGGGGCGGCGGGGCGGCCGGGCGGGCACCCTGGTCTGGTATTCTGACCTTTCACGTTGCCGATGCAGCCAGAAAGATTTTTTGGAAAGTGTGCGAAGCGAGGCGAAGCTCGTCGTACTCTTTACGTCTGAGGAGGCGTCCCTAGCGCTCGCCCCGTCCCGAGCCTCGTCCCGAGCCTCGTCCCGAACCTCGTCCCGAACCTCGTCCAACCTGGAGTCCGGAGCCTAGACATAATCGGGGCTCTTTTCCGTTTCCACGCGCCCTCCACTTTCATTGTTTTTCTGTTGTTGTTTGTTTTTTTTCGTGTTTTTTTTTTCGAGTGTGTGTGTCGAGTTCCGGGCTGGAGACCGTTCCTCCTACAGAGCGATTCCGAAGCACCTGCTGTCTCTCTCGACGCATATGCAGGCTGATTCGGAGAGTCGTTGCCGTCGCTCTGTCTCTCTCGCACCTGCGCGGGACGCCCCGTGAGTGCGAGAGAGACAGGGCGACTGCTGCAGGGGCCGGCGTCGTGTCATCAAAAGGATATCCGAACGCCTCTCTCTCTCTCTCTCTCTCTCTCTCTCTCTCTCTCTCTCTCTCTCTCTCTCCCTCCCTCTCTCTCTCTCTCTCTCTCTCTCTCTCTCTCCTCCCGATGCGATGCAGATTGACCCCCGGGACCTCCGGGCCGCCTCCGGGCCGGGGGAAGGGGTGCGGACCGCACAGTGTCGGGTTGCAGGTCGTCCTCCAGGTCGTCCTCCAGGTCCTCGTGCCTCGGCGACGGCGTCCAATCGTGGCTCCGGGGACTCCAGGGATTCCAGGAACTCCAGGGACTCGAGGGGATGCGCTTCGCAGAACGGAACTAAACGCCGCTCCAGCTTCGGCTCCGGCGGCGCTCCTCGGGTTACGCAAGCCGCCGCCACTGCCGCCGCCACTAGGTGTTGTGTACCCTGGTACCCTACCCGAGATGGCGACGGTCTGCCGGGGCACGCCCTGGCTCACTCCGACGGGCCGTTTCTGTCTCTCTCGCTCTCATGGTGCGTCTCGCAGGGGTGCGAGAGAGACAGAGCGACGAAAACGAACCTTCGGCATGAGTCTGCTGGCGGCGGCCGCCGGAACCACCTTTTCGTGAACTCTCCGTTATTCTTCGTGGCGCACGACGGCGTGGCGAAGCCGTGGCCAAGCCTCGGCGGCGACCAAGCCCGGGCGGTGACTAAGCCAAACCCTTTAATCCTAATTTAGTCGAGAGAGAAGGCGAGCGCGGACGGACACCGACTCGCGCGGGATTAGTTTTTAATGATTATTTTGTTGTTTTGTTTTTCGGCGCTGATGAATCGTCGCGGCTAGTCAGTCTTAACTTTCTTCAATGCGAAGGCGTGCTGCAGGCTGGGCACTGCTTGTCGCTCTGTCTCCCTCGCACCCTCAGGGGACGCCCCATGAGTGCGAGAGAGACGGAGCTCTGAATCAGTCTGCTGAGCCGAACGCCTTAATTGAGGGCGTATTACGCTCGGAGGGCCATTCCCATTTTGGCGGGAGTTGCCGAGTGAAAGCACGCATCTGTTGTTGCCAGCGCTATCAGGAGGAAGGTCTACACTTTGCAGCCTAAAACTTAAACGGCGGCAATGTGTTTTTTTGTTGTTGTAAAAACCCGTCTAAACTAACGAGCGTCTAGTGTGTTCATCTGCGGTGGTTGCGCCGGTCGGCTGCCCCGCCCTTCGACTGCAGAGTCGTTTTCGTCGCTCTGTCTCTCTCGCACCTGCACGGGACGCACCATGAGTGCGAGAGAGACAGAGCGACGAAAACGGCTCTCGGAATGAGTGAGCTGCGCGTTACGCGGCCACGCGTTGTCAGGGCCGGCCCGTCTGGGAATGCCTGGGAGTGCCTGGGCGTGCCTGTGACGTCAGTGGATGGACCGCACCACACACGGGGTTCACACGGCGGCCCTTACTTGCTTTGCTGTCCGAGAAAAATGAGCGCAGCATTCACTTACGTAAAAAAAATGTCAAAAAGTTTTGCAGGTTTTTTTTTTTGCAGTGTATAGTTAAGGGGTTTTGGCGGGTGCCGCCCCGTTGGGTCGTAATGAGACGAGGGGAGAAATCAAAGATCGTTACAGTGGTGGCACGCCTGCCTCGCCACGGGCCTGGGGCCTCTGGAGCCTCGCGCAGCCTGATTCCGAGAGTCGTCTGCGTCGCTCTGTCTCCCTCGCTCCCACAAGGGACGCCCCATGAGTGCGAGAGAGACCCCCAGTCCGCAGGGCCTGGACGGCAGAAGTGAAGCGTCGCTGATCGGGTTGCCGCCTCGGTTCCCCCCTTGCCTTCTGCAAGTCACCCACTCTTCTGCCGGATCCGGCACTACTGACCCATCGCGCCCTTTCTCCATTCACTTGCTTTGCTCCGCGATCCCCCATTCATGACTCCGCCGAAATGAAGAGGCCCCAACACAATAGACGGCATTTTAACAACTCTTTTTTGTATTTTAGTTTCGCGCGAAAGTGTAGTGGGTCGTTGAGCGCAGGTTTGAAAGGTCGGTACAGCTAAGAATGAAAATGAAAATCGTCGATTTAATAAATAAGATTTATTTTTGCATATGTACACATAATTATTCGAGTATGCAGGAAAAATAGCAAACGATAACAAAACAATACATTTTTTTGTCACACCATTGACAGTATATTTGCCAGCGCAGCCAATCTCTTTTTTCCGAACCCCCAAAAATAGCCTTTGTCGCAAATTCACTCTAAATTTACAGCGCGACTTTGATAAATACAATTTTTGACTGTTAGTATATTGGCACACCTGGTTTTGTACACATTTATACTAAACCCTAACTAACTGGGTGGCGCGAAGTACTGCGCGAAAGTGACGTTCTCGCCCAGTGAGCATTCATTTAATTATTCATAAATAAGGAAGAGTTTTGGCAATGTACATTACTGATCTAGAGAAGCATTCCTCCCATCGGCTGCCAGTTTTACAGAGCAGTAAACCGGCAGCGCAGTACTTACGATTAAATGAAGAAAAAACAAAGCAATTCTATTCTTACTCCTAATTTAAAGCTTTGGAGCACACATCAGACAGATTTACGACAAGAAAAATAAGCCATGTCTGAAATCTACACAGAGCCCTTAGAACAATTATTAACACGTGTCATATTTAAATCATTGCCTCAATAGGCAACGACAATGAAACGCACAGCGGTAGTTAAGATATGTTGGGAATTTACAATTCTCTTCTTGGTTGTTGGTGAGCGTAGCACCCGTACTGAGGCCAAAACAATCTTGGCCTCAAAGTAGCTCACCAATAGGCTTTCTACCGAACTATCACACTGACTAACTTTCGTTAAATATACAATTTTTATGAAAATATCGACGAAGAAAACTGCCGCACTCGTATACAACGCATGTTGTTATAAAATCATTTTTAAATCACTAACATTCCTCAGCTGAGCAACTTTTCCGTACAATGGTGATTTGAAAAAATACATTAGAAAAGTAAAAAACAAGAATAAGTTCGGATCGGCGATCCAGGTCGTGAGAACGCAGTGAGAGGCACGAAGCACCCCTCAGCCAAACGACAGCGATTTTGGGAATTCCCCAAAACACACTGCCTTCTTTGGTCGGCCACGAGGGGCTTCCATCTCTCTCGCACTCGTTGTCACGCGCGAACACGCACACAGGCACACTCATCTCTCTCTCACACACAGGCATTCCTTCGCAGTCACTCCATGGAATATTTACATTTGGAAAAGGCAATGGTTCCGAAGCACTCTCTCCTTAACATTATATTCACACCCAGTTCCAAAACTGCCGCAGATCCATTCCTCTGAAAAGGAAGATCCAGAGCCACACAAAGCGCCGGATCTTCCCGACACAGGAAGAAACCAGGACAATTTGAGTTGAGGGCGGAATACAGTGCGGAGGGACATCCAGACCTCGACTAGCGATTTTGCCATCATTTTTCTTTCAGTGTCCGGCTAACCTACATCTAGTTTTCGTTTTCGCGTTGAGGAAATCAGTCTATCGATGGCGCGGTGACTCATTGGCTGCCCGCCTGGTGGTTGCTGTGGTGGTTGCCGTGGTGCTTGGAGCCCGTCTCGCTGGCGGCCGGCGCCGCGGGGGCGCTGTACTGGAAGTTGACGTGGTCGTCGGCGAACTTGACGTAGCTGCCGGCGTCGCTGGTTTTCGAGGCAGCGGCGGCGGCGTCGATTTGCTGTTGCTGTTGCTGCTGCTGTTGCTGTTGCTGTTGCTGCTGCTGTTGCTGCTGCTGGGCGTCGTTGAAGTACAGCGCCACGTTGCCGGGCTGCTGCTGCGTCCCCGCCTGCACCTCGCGCTGCGACACCAGCTTGCCGTCGCCGAGGCCGGAGAGGTCCAGCATGCTGAGGCCGGGGATGTCCAGGCCCAGGCTGGGCTGCACCTGCGCGCCGCTGAAGCCGGCCAGGAACTCGGCGTGCGGCCCGGGCAGCCCCTCCAGCAGCTGCTGCGACTCAGCGGTGGCGGCCGGCGACTGCTGCTGCTCGATGGCGGCCAGGATGTTCTGCAGCAGCCCCTCGGACAGCACCTGCTCGTGCGGCACGTCCACGTCGCGGCCGCCCGCCGACTGGATCTGCAGCGTGTAGTTGCCCTTGGCGCCCTGGATCGGGATGGTCTTGACGCTGGCGCCGCTGCTGGCTGGCGGCTGCTGCTGCACCGCGGCCACGTCCTCGTCGGAGTCCTTGGCCTCCTGGGCGCGCGTCCGGCCCGCGGGCGCCACCGAGTTGTACTGCACGGCCACGGACTGCTGCTGCGACGGCGCGCCGTACAAGTTACCCGGCGCCGAGGGGTAGTCGCCGGCGCCGCTGCTGGAGACCTGCTCCTCGGAGTGCTGCGGCTGCTGCGGCTGCTGCTGGTACGCGTTGGGGTTCACGAGCGACGGGTCGTCGATGGGCTCGGGCTGCTGGTAGGCACTCGGAGACGACTGCGGCGCGCCGTAGTCCAGCGCCGGGGCCTGCAGCGGGGCCGGCGCCGCCAGCCCGGACAGGCCGCCGAAGGCGTTGGCGTACCCGTTGGAGGCGGCCAGGTCCAGCCCCGGGTGCTGCTGCTGCTGCTGGCCGAGGTCGTAGCTCAAGGACTGCGAGATGGAGAAGTCGCCGCCGCCGCCGGTGAGCGCGGACAGCGCCCCGCTGCCGAGGCCGAGGCCGCCGTGCTGGTAGGAGGACGCGCTGGAGCCGTGGTCCGGCACGGCGGGCGGGATGTACGTGTTGCCCTTGTACTGGCCGTGGAGGTCGTTCTTGACGGCGTCCCCGATGGACTCGAGCAGGCCGACGGGCACGGGCTGCCGGTGCAGGATAGGGTGCTTGGGCTGGCCGAAGGGCAGGCCGTAGGAGTTGCTGGGCACGCTGGGCGCCCCGCTCGACTGCTGCTGGTTGTAGTTGTTGTAGTTGTCCGGGGCACCGTAGTTGCCGCTGGGCGCGGCCGGCGCGGCGGGGCCGGAGATGTCACCCGAAGGACCCGACACGTCAGAGTAGCCGCCAGCGCCCTGGTCATGCGCCGGGGGCGGCGGCCCGTCGTACGAGCTGGACAGCCCGCTGGAGTGGCCGCTGGAGAAGTCACTGGAGTGGCCGCTGGAGTGGCCGCCAGAGTGGGAGACGGAGTTGAGCGACAGGCCCGCCACTGGCTGCCAGCCGTCGTACTTGATCTCAGGTGGCGTGGGCGGGCCGCCAGCGCCGCGCCCGGGGCCGGACGGAGGGCCGTACTGCGAGCTGGGCGCCGAGAAGGACGGCGGCGGCCCGTACTGGGACGACGGCGAGCTAGGGGGAGGTCCGTACTGTGACTTCGGCGGGCTTGGTGGCGGTCCGTACTGCGGGCTCGGTGGAGGTCCGTACTGGGGCTTGGGCGGACTCGGGGGAGGTCCGTACTGGGGCTTGGGCGGGCTGGGTGGAGGACCGTATTGAGGTTTAGGAGGACTAGGGGGAGGTCCGTACTCTGGTTTCGGCGGGGGTCCGTACTGCTTAGGCGGGGGTCCGTACTGGGGTTTAGGCGGGCTTGGGGGTGGCCCGTACTGGGGCTTGGGAGGGCTGGGTGGAGGTCCGTACTGCGGCCTGGGAGGGCTTGGGGGCGGCCCGTACTGGGGCTTGGGGAAGCTGGGCGGGGGTCCGTACTGCTGCTTGGGCGGGCTTGGTGGTGGTCCGTACTGGGGCTTGGGTGGATGGAAGGACGGTGGAGGCGGCCCGTAGGACTGCTTCGGCGGGCCGTACTGAGGCTTGGGCGGCGAGTACGACGGTCTTGGAGGCGGCGGCCCGTACTGGGGCTTGGGCGGCCCGTAAGACGACTGCGGGCGCGGGGGCGGCGGCCCGTAGTTGGGCCTGGGCGGCGGTGGCGGCGGCCCGTACTGCGGCTTGGGGGGCCCGTACTTGGGCCGCGGCCGGGGCGGCGGCCCGTACGACGACGAGGGCCTCTGGGGGGGTGGCGGCCCGTAGTTGTCTTCCGGTGGCCCGGACGGCGGCGGCCCGTACGAGCTGGCAGGCGGACCTAGCGGGCGGCCCGGGTTGGTGCCGGGCACGCCGTACACGGGCGGGGGCGCGGGGGCGCCGTACGAGGTCTCGGGCGCGGACTCGGGTGCGCCGTACGCCGACGACGGGAAGCCTGCCGACGCGTCGCCGAAGCCGGCCGAGTCGAGGGCCGACAGCCCCGAGGAGCCGCTGAAGAGCCCGCCGCTGGCGAGGGCGTCCCCGGACGGCGGGAACAGGTCGTCGTGGTGGCCGCCGCTGTCCGCGGGCACGGGCGCCTCCCTGCGCTGCGCCGCGTGCTGGCCCTGCTGGTCGTGCTGGTCGCGCTGGGCGTCCGCGGCGGGCTGGGCCGTGGGCTGCGCGTCGGGCTGCACCGGGGCCGTGATGGCGGAGCACAGCGTCGCCACCAGTGCCAGCGCGGTCACCTGCCGCAGAAAGGAACACGTTGGAGTTCATTTTCGAAAACGTCCGCACGCTCGTCATTCGAGCACGGCGCCTGTCACCTGTCCGCGAGGGACGAGGCCTCGGACGAGGCACGCCGTCGGCACGCGTTGCTTTCGTTCCTACGTTCATTCATTTCGCCGAGTGATTGGACTCGCAGAAGAGAGATTGGCTCGTCACCTCCGCGTGCCACCACACCGTCATGTCACTCTGGTCGGGTCAGGGACAGGCGCGGCCGGCGCGGGGACAGGGAATACAGAGTGCCCCGCGACGCGGCGCGGATTTCCAAACGCATCACGCGCACCGCGTACGGGGAATTAAGATTGCGAATAATGTGCTTCTTTCTTTTTTATATCCCTATTCTGCCCGCCCGGCCCATGCCGTGCCATGTCCGCTTTACCGGCTCTCACCGTGAGCATGAGAGCGTTCTGACGGTCGCTGCGGCCGCTGCGGGGGCACCGTGGCGATATAAAAGCTCCCTACACGTGTAACACACACACACACACACACACACAGACACGCACACGCACACACACACACAGACACGCACACGCACACACACACACAGACACGCACACGCACACACACACACACACACACACAGAGTGTATGCGCTTAGGAAAAGTGCTGGCAAAACGGCCTTTGGAAACGTATTGCAGTAACGCCACACACTCTTACAGGTGAACGCCGGTCTGTGTGTGTATGCGTGTGTGTGTGTGTGTGTGTGTGTGTGTGTGTGTGTGTGTGTGTGTGTGTGTGTGTGTGTGTGTGTGTGTGTGTGTGTGTGTGTGTGTGTGTGTGTGTGTGTTGGTGTGTTCAGACGCGCGCGCGCGCGCATTACAATGGCGGTGTGCCCTCCCTCCCGCGAAGGCGGCGGCCGGCCGTACAGTTTAATGCTGCTGCGGCGCTCTTTAGCCGCGCCCCCTCGCGGCGGCGGATCCTTGCAACTTTTATTCCTTCCCGGCTTGCCGCGCGCGGCTTGCACTCACTGCACGCTGCACCCATCCGCACAGTGGGCCAGAGGACCGGTGGAGGCGGCCAAAACTCTAGACGCGTTTTGAGCTCCAGAGTCGCTAAACAGGACTCGAACCGAACGTGTGACCCCACCAATAGATTCCTCGTTCGGAGAGCAATCCATTGGTGGGGTCACTCGTTCGGTTCGAGTCCCATTAAGCGACTCTGGAGCTCAAAACGCGTCTAGAGTTTTGGCCGCCTCCACCGGTCTTCTGGCCCACTGTGGTCCGCCTGGCATCCGCTGCCTCTACAGCGCGCCCCGACCACGCGCCTCGCGGTTCTTAAGGGTTCACACGACCGCGCGGTAACATTGTGGGAGAGAGCGACGTTACATTTAGGCAGATGGACTCGGCTTCAGGACGGCGCGCGCTGTGCCTTTGGCTGTGCCAATGGCTGTGCCTATGGCTGTGCCTATGGCTGTGCCTATGGCTTTGCTGTGGTGTTCGGTCTCACTCTCGAATGGATCGTAATAAGCGTGGCTTGGCTCGCTTGACTGGCACAAAAAGAAACCCCTCTTCATTGAATTAGGAAGCAGCGAGGGGGAAACGACTCAAAAATTTTGTGTACATCGGATAGGGATAACCCGCGGATTACGTCCGGATTACATCGAAAAATTTCCAGGATTACCATTGGATTACGCCGGATTACCTCAGAAATTCCACGGATTACCCCGGATTACCTCAGAATTTCCCCGGATTACTTCGAAATTTCTGGTTATCCGGATAGCGGATAACCAATTTGCTGTACATCGGATAACCGAAGTCGTTTCCCCCTCGGGAAGCAGTAAATACACGCCTTGTCCTTACCGACGGAGCCGCCATGCCACTGAGCTACGCCTGTGGACTGATTCCGAGAGTGGTTTGTCGCTCTGTCTGTCTCGCACCTAAACGGGACGCTCCATGAGTGCGAGAGTGACGGAGCGACGAAAACGACTCTCTGAGCGTTTCTTTTTTGTGTCTGTTTGGTCCGCGCGCACCCGCTTCACAGCCGCATGGCGTGAGTTGCCGCCGTCGCCGCCAAGTGCGTCAAGGTGAAGAGTCGCGGGTGCCTTGGCGTTGCCTGGCGCCCTGGCCGTAAGGTTCGGCGGGGAGGTCATGCAGGCCGGTGTGTCGTCTGCGTTGCTTTCCCCGCACGCCGGCCGGCCTTGGCGCCGTGGACAAGGTCGGGGCGGGGCGGGGCTGGGCGGGGCGGGGCGGGGCGGGGCGGGGGTGGAGCGGGCGCACAAAGTCTCCCAGGCTTTTCGGCGGCGCCGTTTGTTGCGACCTGGCGTGCCTGGCGTGTCTGGCGTGCCTGGCGTGCCTGGCGTGCCTGGCGTGCCTGGCGTGCCTGGCGTGCCTGGCGTGCCTGGCGTGCCTGGCGTGCCTGGCGTGCCTGGCGTGCCCGGCGTGCCCGGCGTGCCTGGCGTGCCTGGCGTGCCTGGCGTGCCTGGCGTGCCTGGCGTGCCTGGCGTGCCTGGCGTGCCTGGCGTGCCTGGCGTGCCTGGCGTGCCTGGCGTGCCTGGCGTGCCTGGCGTGCCTGGCGTGCCTGGCGTGCCTGGCGTGCCCGGCGTGCCTGGCGTGCCGGGCGTGCCTGGCGTGCCTGGCGTGCCTGGCGTGCCCGGCGTGCCGGCGTGCCTGGCGTGCCTGGCGTGCCTGGCGTGCCTGGCGTGCCTGGCGTGCCTGGCGTGCCTGGCGTGCCTGGCGTGCCTGGCGTGCCTGGCGTGCCTGGCGTGCCTGGCGTGCCCGGCGTGCCCGGCGTGCCTGGCGTGCCTGGCGTGCCTGGCGTGCCTGGCGTGCCTGGCGTGCCTGGCGTGCCTGGCGTGCCTGGCGTGCCCGGCGTGCCCGGCGTGCCTGGCGTGCCTGGCGTGCCTGGCGTGCCTGGCGTGCCTGGCGTGCCTGGCGTGCCTGGCGTGCCTGGCGTGCCTGGCGTGCCTGGCGTGCCTGGCGTGCCTGGCGTGCCCGGCGTGCCGGGCGTGCCTGGCGTGCCTGGCGTGCCTGGCGTGCCTGGCGTGCCTGGCGTGCCTGGCGTGCCTGGCGTGCCTGGCGTGCCCGGCGTGCCGGGCGTGCCTGGCGTGCCTGGCGTGCCTGGCGTGCCTGGCGTGCCTGGCGTGCCTGGCGTGCCTGGCGTGCCTGGCGTGCCTGGCGTGCCTGGCGTGCCTGGCGTGGCGGCGCGCGATACACGTCCCGCCTTATCTCGATCCTCGTTCGAGATCTCGACCGGCGATATCTCGATGCGCCACGCTGGCGGCCTTGCCGGCCTTGCCCTGCATCCTCCGCGACGACTGCGAATAATTCGTCCGGGATGACGAGCGAGTTCCATTGAACCGCCCCTCTCGCGCATCCCCTATGGGGCATGAGTGTGGGAGCGAGAGAGAGGGAGAGAGTTTATCGAACCCGGCGTGCGAATAATCGACTGTGGCTTCCGATAGCGCCCGCCGCGCCTGGCGCCGCCCGGTGGACGGTCGGAAGCGCGCAGCGCGCCGAGAGCGAGAGTGCCTGGGCGCCTCGTGGGACCGCAGCGCGTCGCAGCGCGGTGCAGCGCCATCTATCACCGGCTTGTCTGCCCGGCGCGGCGGGGCGGGGCGTACCGTGGCGGGGCGGCAGTCACGACTCAGATTCACGCTCGGTATTCACATTGGCATTCACATTCACATCCTGGCCGTCGTCCCCGACCAGCGCGTTCCGCCCAAGCGCGCCCAAGCGAAGGGCCGCCGTGGCCGCCGTGGCCGCGGAGGCGGCATGCCCGCCGAGGTACTCGTTGGGGTTCTCATCGCGGTACTCGTTTGAGGCAGTCGCAGGAAACTCGGTGCGGTATGATTGGCGGGCCGTTCGTTCAGCCCACCGACCCGGCCGGCCTACAGTGGGCCAGAAGACCGGCGGAGGCGGTCAAAGTCCCGGACGCGTTTTGAGCTCCAGAGTCGCCAAATGGGACTCAAACCAAACGTGTGACCCCACCAATGGGTTGCTCTCCGAACGAGGAATCCATTGATGGGGTCACACGATCGGATCGAGTCCTGTTTAGCGACTCTGGAGCTAAAAACGCGTCTAGAGTTCAGGCCGCCGGCGCCGGTCCTCTGACCCACTGTGCGGCCGCTGGGGTCTCGCCGGCGGGCGTTCGAGGAAGGCGCGAATCAGATTAAGGGGAAGGACACGGGGCCGACGGGCCGACGGGCGTCCGACGGCGTGCTCACGAGGGTCTTGACATTGAGGGTGAGGCCCGTCATGCCCGGACGCGGCAAGGCAGGCAACGCGGCGCCGGGTTTCGCTTTCTTCCAGCGCATCGTCCCACTCGCACACAATCGTGCACAATGCTGCCAAGGCAAGCCGAGGCAAGCCGAGGCAAGCCGAGGCAAGCCAAGGCCCCAAGGATGCTGCCTGCCTCCGCCTAGGTCAGGTCGCTGCATCTTGACTTGCCCGTTGTGCAATGTCAGCTTACCTCACGCCAAGAAAAGGCTTGATTCGGGTTCGGATTGGTGTGATGTGATGACGGTCGGATGACGGTCGGATGACGGCGCGAACCGCAGGCCGGGACGTCGGTCACGATGTCGCAGTCGGCAGTCTCGGCCCGCCCGCGCCGCCCGCACCGCCCGCACCGCCCGCACCGCCACCGCCTTCGTGTTTGCCGTTTATTTACCGCCGTGGCTTCTGCTTATGCCTGGCTCGGCCTGGCTTATGCGGGCGCCACGTCGCCACGTCGCCCCGGAGGCCTGGAGCCACAAACTTCTCGCGCTGCTTGGCCAACCAGCCAACCAGGTCGCTCGAGGACGACGACGACGACAACGGCGCGCACGGGCCGCAGTGGGCCAGAAGACCGGTGGAGGCGGCCAAAACTCCAGACGCGTTTTGACCGCCAGGACTCGAACCCATCGTGTGACCCTACCAATGGATTCCCCGTTCGGAGAGCAATCCATTGGTGGGGTCACACGTTCGGTTCGACTCCTATTTAGCGACTCTGGAGCTCAAAACGAGTCGGGGATTTCGACCGCCTCCAC